TAACTGAAAAATATTGAACTGTAGTTTCCAATAAAAATAATCCAACAATAAAATAAAATGCTTCCACCCGAAAATAAAATGATCTAGTCATTAACCCCCAGAGTGCTAATCAAATTAAATAATTAATATCTTTACAGAAACAAGCCCCACATTCCACAACAATTAATAAAATGGATTTGCCAAGAAGACCGCCAGCAGAACTGGACACAATGCGTCACGCCCAATACTTCAAACGAATAACCCAGATAATGCCCTGGCAAATGGCCTCATACGATTCGATTCGCATGTTGTTTGGTTTTTTCGCGATATCAGGTCTGGATCTCCTGAATTCCCTAAAAATCCTGAAGGAGGAGGACCGCCTAGGAGCAGTAGAATGGATCTACAGACTCCAGGTGAAAGAGGCAGGAGGTAGATCAGGTTTCCAAGCATCCACAATGCTTCCAGATGAGCCCTCAGAGTATTTGTGTGGTCATCTGTCCATGACTTACACAGCCCTTGCCACATTGCTGACTCTTGGCGACGATCTGTCGAGGGTCGACAAGAAATCCATCATCGAGGGGATCAGAAGCTGCCAGAATCCAGATGGCTGTTTTATTGCTATGATCACTGGCTCCGAAAGTGATATGAGATTTCTCTACAGTGCCTGCTGTATCTGCGCTATTTTAGACGACTGGAGTGGATTCAATAAAGACAGGGCTATTGATTATATCATCAAGAGCATTGTAAGCAAAAATCACCTCCAAATCACGAATCGCTCTATTTACTCTAATAAGATTAATTAATTATCCATGAGTTTTCGTTAATAGATCTATTTATTAAATATATAGTTTATAGATCGATTCATATTAACGTTTTAAATAATCCCCATAAGCGATATCTTTGGCATTAGCCAAAATATTTAGGAGTTTAATGTCGTGATTCTCTCATCAGAATAATTTTAGTCGTACGACGGAGCGATGGGCCAGGGTCCAGGATTAGAGTCCCACGGTGGTTCGACGTTCTGTGCGGTTGCAAGTCTCTACCTCATGAACGAACTCCACAATGCCCTGACTCTGGAGCAGCTGGAGAGATTGAGGAGGTGGTGTCTCATGAGACAAAATGATGGCTTCCAAGGTAGACCTGGTAAGCCAACGGACACGTGCTACAGCTTCTGGGTTGGTGCTACTCTTCACATGCTCGATGTACAACAGTACTCAGATGCTGAGGAGAATCGAGAGTACGTACTCAGCACTCAGGACACTAGAATCGGGGGATTTGCCAAATCCTACGACATGAGAGCTGATCCACTTCATGCGTATCTGGGTAAATCAATTTGATTATTGTTTTTCTTTAATTGAAATTCTAATGCTCATTTTTATTCGCAGGTCTCTCGGCCCTCAGTCTTCTGGGAGAACCTGCCCTTCAACCCATGAATGCTGCCCTCAATATTTCCAATCGTGCCTATGCACATCTCAAGGATCTCCACAAAAAATGGAATCAATAGACGATTAGTTCACTGATAATTTATGCATAAACACAATTCATATCAACGCACAACCTCAGACGTATGTCAATTACATACAAATAATCATGGAATCGAGTATTATGGAGTCAATATATTGAGGAAGGAATAATTAATCAGTGTAAATTGCGAGAGAAAAATAAATAAACATGCTTTGATATATTATGTAAGTGTTCTTATATTATTTCTTGTACCAAGTGGTAAATTGGGTGAAACGTATTTTTTTCGAGGTCAGTTTTTATCAAATATCTCGAAATTGAAGGGGGATAACGACATTTTCATCGATACCTTTTTTGTAGATATCATCATTTTCTATAAAAAATATTCAGCCAAAAAAATCGATAGGTGCTTTGAATTCTGAGATATTGGGTAAAAACTGGCCTCGAAGGGTATTCACCCTAGTTTATCATTTGGCTACTGATTTTTCCCAATCCCTTCTGAATCATTGGAAAATTATCAATTGATTCATTTTCGCATGGAGATTTTAGTTTTAAAAAAGAATTATTATTATTTGTCCTGGATGAATAGAATTGGCTTTTAATTTAAAATGCAAAATTTTTTGAGATTGAAGGGGTCAAATGGACCCCTTGTGTCAGATCATGGGGGACCCTGACTCCTTCCCTCTGGTGATTTCCCCACCCATGATCACTAGGTACCATAGCAACCGGGGTGGGTTCCCGCTATGTGCCATCACAACACACATCCCAGACGCAGTTGGACTCTCCACGAGTCAAAAGCCCATTTCAATTTCTCGCGCCCCTCCAGCTAAATTAATCATCAGGTCAGTGTGATTGTGCGTCAATTAGGACACCGGGTGTGTTTCAATCGCCGAATAATGACCCATTTATAGCTCATGGAATTGATTTGATTATTAAAACGTTTCGTTAAAACTTGGCAAAGACAACTTTCACCGTCCGTTTTCGAGTCGACTGCGACTCAATAATTGTCGAGGTGAGTTGGAGCATCTATTTAAAATCTTTTCTATTAATTGATATTTTTAATTATTGCCAACACATCATGACAGATTTTCCTCGATTCTATAAATTTTTTGATTAGCAATTCGGAATTTATTCGTGTAGATAGATCAACTGTAATTAGAATACTTTTTTGAGAATTTCCCAAGACTTTCTATTTTTCGAATATATAATAATTTTTTTGTTTGAGGGATGAATAATTTATGAAAATTTCGTTCATTAGAATGTGGGAAAATCCAAGTCCGCCAGGAGAAATATTTTTTTGCAATTTAATTAATGACAATTCTTGTTAGAATTCATTCTTAATGAAAGAAAATGAAAATTCAAAATCTTTATTTGAAGCTAATTTGCGAGAAAAATCATCTTTTTATGATGATAAAAAAGCAAATCCATTTTTGAGGTGAATGTCTGAGTATCCGCACTCGAGTGATAATTTTCGGTAATTAGCTGATGAGTTTACAAGTGTAAGTGACGTCAACTAATTGGCGGTTGAAAAACCCCGCGATAAGGATAATCGTACTTTATCGCATTTATCTTGCCTCATCCGTTCAACGTCATGATACGTTTTTTTTTCCCGCAAGTCTCGTCATTGATACGAATTCTACGTTGCATGTGTTGGATATTTAGTCATCAATTGGAGAACAAGACGGATGTTATGCACTGAGAAAAAAAAAATACCACCGACATTAAATTTGCTGCAAGAAAATTCACTCAACCGCAAATATTCATAGAAATGTATTTATTCCCTGTAAATTCACTTGGTAAAAGTAAATGCATTTGGCAGAGTGAATTTTTTACAGTGATTATAATTTTATCCAACCGTAAATTTTCATCAGAAAGTATTTTCGAAATGTTTTTTTTTACGCTAATGAGTCATTAGTTATTTTAGGTGGCGGATTCGATTAATTATTCAAATTGATTTTAGAGACTTGTAATGCTAATGTACTTCGAGAATAATTATTGATAAGGACTCGCGGACGCGCTGATAATGAATCGGGTTTGACCTATCGATGGATTCAATACCGATAATTATCTTTCATTAAGATTATCCCAGAATTAATTTCAGTCTGTTCAACGGGAATAATTGGCGGAATTAACGAGTCGTAATTTCTCTGATGGGATTATTTCTTTCTAAACCCGAAGGAATATCTGAATATCTGAAAGATATTGCAATTAATTCTGGAGTCGATTAATTTTCCACGCCACTAAATCTTCATTAATTTAAACAAAACGAGTGAATTTATCGTCAGCATAAACCGAAAGAGCTGATTATTTCCAGTGAAACTCGTAAAAAAAAAACTATTCCACTAGACATTTTTTCTCGTAACAAAAATAATCAGAGCGTGCAAATGCAGAAAGAAATGCTAAAGTAGAATGACAAAAAAATGCCGTTGCCGTCATAAAATAAATGTTAGCGAATAATAACCCATAACCAAGAATTGGTTAATATTTTATCTTTTTCGCATTGAGTGCCTTTGACGTTATAGTCAACCGTGAAATAACGTTGAGCTCGGAAAAGTTGGGGAGAAAAACAAACGAGAAAGCCCTCAGGCACGTGCCCTAGATGTGAGGATCATCATCTCTAGAAGACCTAGAAAGCTCGAGAGTTATTCCCTAAGATTCTTCTGTTATTTTATCTGATTCCAGTGTTCTTTCGTCTCTTATTGTACCTCCTGGTTGCCTCTCGTTAAACTTTTATTGTTGAAGGGAGAGATCTCATAGCAGCCGTTGACTCCCGATTGCATCCCCTTTTCACCCCTCAATTGGATGCAGCTGTTGCTCGACAGCTGTTTTCCAGGGCACGAGGCAAACTTGAATTAAGTCTGCCTCAGCCTTTCAACCACCTGCTTTGACATCTTCCCGCCGAAGTCGAATTATGTGACTTAAAGTGGAAGGAAATATTCATCCGAGGAAGCAATTGCCGTTAGGTTTTCCCTATTTTCATCATTTCCCATGACTATTCAATTCTATCCTTTCCATTTTGCGAGAAGAAATTTATGAAAATAAAATTCTCATTTCTTCATCAGTGAAAAATTAAAATCATATACTTCAATTATTTAAAAATTCAGATGACGTGGCGACTGAAAATGGAAGAAATTTTCTAGTGAAACAGAAAAGAAAGAAGTGAATCAGCGAATTTGTCAGGTTTTTCGATTAAAGATTGAGAAGTTGTGATTGCATTAGGGATGAAAAAAATCCCAGACATTCGAATTGAATCCTCACAAGTGCTCTCAAGAGTTTATTCAACCAGCCGCACGTGAAAAGATAAATAAATGAGTTTCTGGAGGCAGTAGATTGCCTCAAGTATATCCAGCAACAGTCGACAACAAGTTTCATTCATTACGCCAGTTTGATGGGCTTCCAACAAATCATGTATATACCCCATGAAAAGTATATGAAAGATACATAATATTAAGTCAATTCTATACATTTCCCCAATTTATTTATCCCCATTTTATTTATTTAATTAATTATTGAGAAGCGAATGTGAAAACGACAAACAGTCTTTGTAAATTTCTTTAAAATGTTGATTGGATCAGTATATTTTTTTTAGAGTATATTTTTAATATATTGATTTTTCATATAATTTTCGGGAGTACATGCAGTAATTAAATAAAATTTGACGCACGACTAATGGAACTAGTGGCCGTGACCCATCGATTTTGGTGTAATGAAAGCAAATTCTCAGCATTTCCTAGACCATCGACTCAGTAGATTCTACTGGTTGCTTGAATTCTCGGAGACTTAATTGATTATTTAACGAGATTAAGTGCCGGTTAATTAACTATCTTTATCCTTCGTGGGAATACATTCGCGTTTTTAATTAGATATTCCTGCCAATTTGTTTTCCAAGTTATTCGACAGCACAAGAGATGCACTCAAATTTCATTCAAACACTAATTTTGTTTTGGATAAAGAGTGGAATTGCTGATAATTTAAATAATTTTATATTCATTGTCGCTGCATATTCATGAGAGGAATATATTTAGAGTGCAATCTCATTTCCTTAATAAATCTAGTTTGAATGACGAGTTACTGTGAATGTTCTCGATAAGAAGTGATAAATGCTTTCGGGAAAAATATGAAAATCTTCATGAATAATTTTCTAAGTGCGAAATATTTTTGAATTACGTGGAATTTTTTTGGTATCGTAGTGATGAGTGGTTGAGGAAAAAATAATAAAATACTATTCCAATGGGATTGAAGAAGAAAGATTGAAGAATCTTTTTGTTAAATCTCAATTAATACTATTTTTTGAATTACGATGTAGAGAGATGTTTACGTAAAATTCACCTCGCAGGGGAATTGACCCATTTCATGACTTGGCTAAATTGACTTTTTCAAATTGAGAAAAACCTCTTCTATAGGCGGCCTTCTCTCCAACTTTAATTGAAAAATATCTCCCAATAAGTAATGTCCCACGTTATCGCTCCAAAAGTCTTCGAATTCGCTACAAAAGTTACATGAAACGCTCTGTATGTAGATTCTGGGGTACTCTAGTTTGCCTTGTCCTCATCCTCTCAAACATGGAATCGATCGTGGGTTTCCCCCAAACCCATCAGAGTTAGCTATTCAGCAGGTTTTCAGCCGTAAAAAACCGACGAAAAAACCAATACCCGTTCCATCTCCAGTGGCAACGAGCAGAGATATGTGAGCAGAATAAAAACCTCAAACAAATCCAAATGCTACCATCGAAATGCCGAGATTTCATGATCAAATCTGGAATTATATCGGGAAAAAATTAAATAAAATAACTGTTCCAGATTCTGCATGTTCTATTGAAATCTCTCATGGGTGAATTGAATTTCTCTTTTCATTGAATGGAAATCAATCGTTTCACGTCAATAATAGAAGTTTCCACAAGTCCTTGACATTGTTGAATCTGAGATTGGACTCAACCGAGTGTAAATTGTTGAATAGCGTGCATTTGACTGAAACTTTCGTATGCAAAGTACGCAATGTTGACCTTGTGAAAACATTAATTGGTACTCTATGGATAACTTTGGTTTCAGGTGGCGTGGAGCACAGCTGTGATGGAGTTACAGAGTTGGTTACTCTATCATCTGGTAGCTGTTACTGACTGCAATCAAGGTATATGTCACCAAAATATACCACACGGGATTCAACCATCATTAGTCGTTACTTTTATTCATCAGAATGTTCAATTATATTTATCATTTGTTTATGTAATTTTCCATATTGTTTTTTATTTTTAGTTCACTGAGTGTTCCTCGTTGATTTTATTACGTTCAAAAGCATATCTGCACGTTCATTTCATTTTTCGAATTGAATTTACTCACGCCAAGAAGTCGAGTGCACTAATGTACGACGGTGAGTAGATTAATTGATTTCCAATAATTACTTTCAATCTATTTAATTAATCAATTGCAGTGTCAGCGATTGATTCCACCATCTTCGGAATTTTCACAGGGAAATCTGCTGTATCTCTTTCCTGATTGTTAATTAAGGTCAATTAATTATTCTTTATTATTCGCAGTGATGCAGTCGGCGGCTACCGGTGGTGGAGTGTATTCAGCAAATGGTACAGGAAGTAGAGCCCGAGATTTGGGTCTGAGGGCTCAGAAAAAATTATTGGGACGGGTTGTTTCCACTGGAGCTGGAAGATCGCTATTCATAGACGATGCAACAACATCATTACTCGATAATTTATTCAAACTCATGGAGAGGGTGGCCAAGAGCCATCCAGATATGGACAAAAAACAGCCGGAAAAAGTCCTCAAGAACATCGTTAAATTGTCAATTAAGGTAATTCAATCCATCGAATTAATAACCATGAAAGTCCGCAGGTAGAAGAGATTTATGATGTTTTAATGATTTTATAAATAGTTGGGCAGTACTTGAAAAAATTGTATTAATTTAGATTTAACAAAAAGAGAGATTTAGTGTCAAATTTCCCAGAAGTTTATGTTTTCAGAAAATAATTAAACTGAAAATGAGATTTTTCATCGATTTTTTTATTTTCAATTAGTCAAATTATCCATATTCCATATTTATGATATTCGATATTTATGATGTTATTTATGGAAATTTCAGATAGGATTGTTACAACGTAATCAACAACTGGGTCCATCCGACGAGGCGAAACTCAATGAGATAAGGACAAGCCTGAAAGCGATAGCCATGGGTGTTGTTTCTTTTCACGAGCTTGAATTCAGTTTTGATCGTTTGTACTTAACGAGATCCTTAGAACGCTGCCGGACAGCAATATTATCCCTTATCAAACCCCATCTAACTGATAAATCTCAAGATCGATGCGACATGGTCTTCGATTTTCTCACCAATCCAGATTTCCTGGATTCTGTCTTCAGACAAGACTCCGAACACCGTCCAACACTTGGTCTTCTCGTTGGAGATGTCAATAAAGCCCTCGATGCTGGTCATCTTTGATTCAATCAACTGACAACTCATCAGTGAAATTTTTCAATATCCAGATCAAACCACTATTTAATTCACTAATTGCATCTCCAATCAGAATTCTGTCATTGAGAAAATAATAAAATCTGCGACTCGCCAGTACAAAAATGGAAATTTAGTTTTCAGAATTAAAAGTTGAAGAAGAAGTCTGTGAGGATCCAATCAAAAATTTCCAAAAATCGTTCTAGAATGAGTAATCAATTAATTAGAGTATCAATTAATTTATATGAACCATGAGGTTCGCTGCATCTCCAATGATGTAATCATTCCTTTGGATAATCTTTTGGTTCTATGATATGGAATTCATGGAATCTATTTTCCTTCACCGCAAAACACTTCGCACGATAACAATAAAAAGAGAAACAGATCAGTGAGTTTTGTGTCATGACTGTTCAGTAGTCGCTCGATTTCACATTCATTGTTTATGACCCACTCGCAGGCTCGAATCGCGTACGACATGTGCGTTATAAGTTTATTCCATTGTAAATGTAAGAGATGAAAAATTCATTTAATCGTCATGTGAGGAGAAATCCCCGTCATGGGAGGAGAAAAATTGAAACAATTAAAAACGATATTACTTTTACAGTAGAGACCAGAAAATCCACCTAATATATTAAATGGACCTTGATGAATGAGTTAGCGGATTTAAATGTGTACAGTAGAATCTCGTTATAGTCGCACCTTTTCTCAATTTCTGTTTTCGCGTACTTCCGGTTTACCCGTTCTACTACTTCCGGACTACAAGGTGTAAACAATCCATCATACCGTCCGGTGAGGAATTGAATTCCGTGACAAATAAAGCCGAAAGATAAATTCCTTTCGTATTCGAACTTCCTACAAAAAAATTCACGCACGCGATTATAACTGGAGACTACTGTAGTATTTGTCGATATGTATTATAGCCTAGATTAGTTATTTCAGAATGTTATTTATAATTATTTTTGAGTAATTTAATTGAGTAGGACGGTGATAAAAGTATTGGACAAAAAAAGATGAAAGAGTCAGATTTAAGTGAAAATGTAGAGATAATTGGAAAATTTGTTCGTTTCATCTTTTTTTTTTGGTTCGATGCGGAATTTAAAATTATACCAAACACTATTTATTTTCATCCAAATATTTTTTAGTCGAGAGTTTTTACTGTTTTAAATAATTACAGCTGTAAATGGAGGAAATTGTCCGGTGATTATTGAATGATTAATTTTTCTGTGAATGAAATCAATCAAAGAAACCAAAAAATACGTAAATCTTGTCACCAATGAGCTTATCAAGGAGATATAATAGCTGAAGAGGCTCAAATTACGATTTCAATTTTGGATTCTAAATTAAATGTTCGTAAAGCGAAAAAACAATTGAAAAAACAATCGCAACGGCTAAATGGACATATCTCCCTTTACTGACCAAAAAGTGATGGACAGATTTCGTTCGTTAAGTGAAACTCAGAATAAAAATAAATAAAATAGATTAAAGAACATGGAAATTTAATCGTTCATGATTTTGTAGACGTGTCCATTTTGGAAGAAAAATTATACACGACCTTTACACAGCGATTCGATGCATTATTTATAAGAATTGTACCTCTATGTGATGTATTACCATATCGTTTTACCATGAATAAATTATTTGTAATGAAAAATCATTTTGCATCGATCTTATTTTACCCGAAGGTCAAATTATTGTGATGCAATTGTAATAAATTTTACAATTTTACTGTGAATTTGATATTTCTCAGTCAATTTTTGCAAAAATTTTACGAAAAAAAAATGAAAAATGAGAACATATCGGCAATAATTACCAAAATTTTCAATAATAAGGTGGCGCAGGCGCGCCTGAAGGGATTTCATAATGTATAGTATATGCTATTGACAGGAAATAAAAACAACCACGACAAGGACAAATGAATCTTCGAAAGATCGTCAAGAGAGAAAAAAAAGGTGAGATTCTGTGCACTGTATACGAATTATATTTTGTATATTTTGGAACGTCGCATGAAGATCGCGACCCAAGCACTCCTAATGAGGGTGTCTAAAAAAGCACAGGAGTGCGAAAAACCAGAAGGTCCGATAAAATTTGAGATAGAAGTGAAGATTGATGAAATAGAATCATTGACAGAATACAAAATTTGGAAGGGAAAAATTATCAAAGCGTGAAGATTCGACTGTGGAATACCTCCTACTCTGTCTCAAGAGCCGGTTTTGAAATAATGGCAAGACCATCTAATTAGAGGAGCCTAATTGTTAATTATGTTTACATAATGCCAAGTTTTTTGCATGAGGAGAATTTTCACGAAAGATTCTCCAGTCTTCTTAAAAAAAAAAAAAGCTTTTAGGATTGAGAATAATGTATCACTGTATTAGAGCATTAAATAAATAAATTATGTATAATAAAATAAGTATTAATTGCTGTAATCGCTGATTTGATTTCATTGTCATAAAATAATTGAATTCGATTGTAACACATCGATGGGAATAGACTTTATTTACAAGAATGTCACTGTCATCACCTGATAATTGAATTGCACGGTTTTTAAATATAAAATAACAATCGCAGCCGAAGTACTCGTTTCAGTCATCCAATTTTAATTATACAAACGAAAAAACCATTCAGACTGCCACCAGAATCACATTGAAAAATCTCGAGAAATCTTTTCTCCTCTTCGGAATCCATTTTTTTCAATAACAAGTGGTCATTTATTCGTTTTTTTTGCTCGTGAAAACGTAATTGGCACGTCAGTCCAGCTCCTTATCGTTCCACATTTCAGTTAACACCGATTATTTAATTAACAATAGCTATTACAACTATTCCGATGCCTTTGTCGTTTTGGTGGCAGCGCCTTTATGAATATTCATTTATCATCTTATTCACCTGTTCCTATGACAGATCGTTATGAGTTGTCGAGTGGAATCAAAATGGAAAGAACGATAAAAATATCTTTCGTTTAAAATTATTTGAAGTTTATCCTTGAAGATTTTTTGTGGGAATTTCATCGAGTTATACTTCAAAAATCGTACGAATTTCCATTGGTTTTTTTCTGTAACCATTTCATTATGGAAAAAATAACGGATGATAATTATTATGTTAATTATGCAGTCCCAAGATTTTTCTTAAATCTGTCTTCTTCCCCTTTTATTCCACTCAACGCTATTACAATTAATACGATTACTCATAAAAATGATGATATTGTCTCTTAAAATGGACAATGTATCATCAATAAATACGAAAGCCATTCAAGCACTTCAGGATTACAGATTAACGCAACTTCTTTACCTAATAATTACTGATAAGGGCTAATGAATATTTGAAACTTATGTCTAGATTTAGGTCGAGCTAGTAACTCATTCAAATAATTCAACCGATTATATCTATTTGAAAAAAAAATCGTTATTAATTTTTCTTCGTTTCCACTGACCATCAATTCAAAAATTGATTTTTAATTTAATTATGCCATGATTATTGCAAACAATCAGGGAAATTTAGGGAAAATCGAAAATTCACGTTACACTAAATTTAATATTCATGGTCCAACGAAAATTCAATCGATTTATGAAATTTTCGTACTGATTTTTTTCGGTAATTCCGATTCAATACCACTCGCATGAAAATTACTGTCATATTTTCCATGAAATTAAAAAAATCTCCATTAATGCGATAATTTCATTCCTATAATTTGATAATTGAACTACAATTGATTTATCTAGGCTAATTAATATCCATTTAGATATCAACCGAAACTCGACCATTTTATCACTCGACTTCATCTTTTGTTCTAATCTTCATCACCAAAATGGATTTTTTCAACGAGAAAAATCAATTTTCGAAATAAGTCTTATGTTTTCTTAAATCAATTATCACTTTAATTCGGTGATGCTCATCATCCCTCATCATCTTATGCTTTCAAAAGTAAAATGACGATTATCTTGGATGTTGCATTAATCCAAAATCGATTACGAATTAACGAAAATGGTTTCGATTTGTAAATGAAGAAGGCGATTTAATGAGTGAAGAATGTTTTCATGTGAATTTACTTATTCTTATGTTAAGATCTCCATCCCAGTTCTCCATACATTTGAAGTTAGATTTTTCCTGCTGCCTTTTCTTCTCACGATTCTATTCCTACTTCATACTTCAGCAATAAGTCGAGTTCGATGCGGATGTGATCCAACAGAATGGCTTACTGCCAGAGGCCAGCGTAATTTCCGTACAGATTCGCTGGTAGAGGACCTCCAGCTGTGAACAGTCGTGTCCCAGATTGATCGTAACAATGGGTGTAGATTGCTGGAGTGTATTTGACGTTCTGGAAGCCATCGATGTACTCCTCATCAGGAAACTATGGATTTGATGCAAATTATTGCATGTTTTATCATATGAGATTAATTCATAATAAAACTACAGAAATTATGATGAGTAATTATGAATAAAAGGGAATAAATACCACGTATCCCTTGGATGCTTTGAGAACAACTGTACGATTCGAGTTTATCGACGACTCGAGATACTTCTGTGCTCTTATGTCATAGAACATTAGCATTCCTAAACCTGTACCTATTGTCAGCACTGAGCCTTGAAAACTTGCTGATCTTATCCCGCATCCACTGTACCTGTATAATAAATAAAAACAATAAATATACATTAACAAATGTAAACGATTTTCACCAGTAGAAAAGTGAACCTGAATTTTTAATGATAATGGTAGAAATTCATTACCTTTCACGGCTTGGCTAGACTAGATTGAAGTAAATTCATGTGGCGATGAAGCGAGAAATCGTAAAGGAAGTACAAACCTAGAGGGGATTTTCTTGACAGGCTGTAGCGTCCTGGCGTCTAAGAGAAGTGTATATGAACGACACCCCACAGCATAAACTCCATCATCTTGCACAGCGAGACAGACGTTCTCCTGACAGGCTGGCAATTTTCGTGATATTTTCTGTTTAAACGTCTCCGCAGACCAGATGTGAATAAAACTGTTCAAGGATAAAGCTGCTATCTCGTTGTAAGCTTTATTGAATGCCAGTGCCCGTACTTTCTGAGCTGATTTGCATTCCTTAACGCTCACTGGTGAGATCAATCTGTCAGGAAAAAAATCATTAGCTATTATTGAGTAAACAGAAATTTAATTAATGGACTGAATAAACTTGTTAATACTTAGTTCAGTTTTTGCGGTTCATTTTGGTGTTTAGTATGGGGGAAGATTACTTACCTGTGGGTAGGTACATCTGCTTTATCAGGTGCTTCAGCAAGATTACTATTAATATGCCAGAGTGCCATTCTCGTATCCCTTGAACCCGAGACAAGAAATTCATCGTCTAACCAACACATGTCAAATACCCAGTCTCGGTGTCCCGTCTCTCCAACACACACTGGATCCAACGTTGGTAATCGATAAATCGCTATTTCGTTGCTGTGACGTGCACCAGTGCTCAATAATGTTCTGTTGAAACGCGAATTCTCGAATTATCTTGTGATCAATTAGAGCGGAATGCACTAGGATAATTTTCTTAAAATTCCGCAGTCAAATACTGAATGACATTTAATTAAACCGCTCATTAAATTTCTCATTTATCTTAAAAATCCAGAGAAATTGGATTTTTTATGTTAAATATTTGATGATTTTCCAATTAAATGATTCATCTATGGAGAATTTTTGAATTTCAAGTTTTTTGCTTAAAATTGCAGGTACAATTTTCCAATTTTCATTATTTTTTCTAAAGCATAGAATTTTTCAATAGCTGTAAACGCAATCATTCCCTGATCGAAATTCGACGAGAATAACGACGAAATCATGACCTCAAGTCAGAATTGAATAGATTTCAGTGATTATTTAACCAGTCAGGTGGATGACTTAGAGAAATTACCTAGAGGGATTGATTTGAACAGAATGAATGCCAGCCTGTGTCTCAGCGACAGGTCCCCCATTGGAATTACCCTGTCTTCCATGCAACGAGGGTATCTGATCTAACTTCTGGGTCGCAACGTCATACACCATGAGTTTATTACACTTTGTTCCGAAGACGACCTGACGATCACTCAGCCATTGCGAGCAAAATACTTTATTCATATTATTGAGACTGACAGAGTACTCTTTGAATAGATCGTGGGTGAGGATGTGTCTGGATCCATATTCTTGATTTATTTTTCTAACTTCTCTCGTGTTGGTTTCCCTTGCACGTACGTAGTCGACGAAATTGAAGGAAGTCCGGAGGTACTGTCTTCCCTCCATTACAGTTTCTTCCTCATCATCACTCGATTCGTAACAGACAAAATCCTCTGGCTTGTCTGGCTTTCTATTTCTCTCTAGGCGCAGTGCCAATCTGGAAGATTGAAAGAGAAATAGACGATTTGCCCTTTCAGAAATTTTTACTGAGTTTTCCATCAAAAATTTTCGGCATTTTTTTCAGCAATGCAGTAAAATTATGCAGATGCTTCTCGGAATTCTCAATTAATCCTCAACATTCATGAAAATATATTCACGTTTAGTTGTTCGCGGTGGACGGCCAGAAAATAAAACACAAATTGCTGTTTTGTTATTGTAAACATGCAAAACACGAGAAAAAAATACAAGGCAATCGAACAGAATTTACACGAAATTCCCTGTTATTCCCAAACCATGAGACAATATCCGATGAAAACAGAAGGATTACAAAAAATTTTAATGCAAAATTCATTATTTCTCCAAAGAAATAAGAAGAATAATCGAAATCTTGATGATGTCAAACAAAATAGTTTGAACTCTAAAAAGTCCCTCTCATAAAAATCCCACAAAAAAATCAAGCGAAGAACGAAAAAAAACTCCTTATCATGCCTTAGTTGTCAAATTAATTTCGAATTACTAAAAAAATCACGGAATATTCATAGTACCTTCTAGCCCTCCTCTCCTCAAGCCTGCTGAGGCTGGCACAGGGAGGATGTCTCCCATAAATTCTCATCTTCTGGGTTTCAGCCATGGTTTCCAGAAATCCTCAGAGACTTCAAAAAAAACTCCCCAATCCCTCAAAAATTTCCTCAAACACTCAAAGCCCTGAGAAAATCCCCACAATATCACTAAAAAAAACCGACAATCCCCCAATTAAACCCAACGATGCCAATAATTGACAGCTAGAAATGCGCCCAGGGACGTATCGATGTCTGGAAATCGGAAAAAAAGGCCAAAAATTGGCCTGACCCCTGGAGTACCTCGACACGACGAAAATATACTCCAGGTCCTTGTGATATGCCGATCCCTCGAGCAATTGTCTCGTCCTCACTACCATCAAGCCCCTCGGGGTGAAATTCCTCACTCTTAGACTAAAAAGACACTTCCTGGGGGATTAAATCCACTGAATGCAAATAAACTCGACAAAAATGTCGGACAATGGTAAAAGTTAGCCACCAATGCTGAGAAATATCGGCTTTATCATCTCAGTTGTTGAATGGGGTGAAAATAAAATATTAAATGTGGAGAAGAACGCAACTAACAGTTGGGAGCTGTGACTAACGCCATGTTGAAAAGCAGCACAGGGAACTGAAAACTCAACACTTGCCCTGTACCAGGCGCACATGAGCCATTCACAGGCATTTAAATATTAAAGTCATTGAAATTCCGGGGAGACCATATAATATTTACAATGCACTAGACACTGACTTCGCGAATTTAATTCATGCAGAAGTATTTACTCAGAAGTTGTCTACCATGAAGTAATAAATCTATTCAAGAAATTCCAAGACCGATGATTGTTGTCAATATCCTTTAGTTGACGTATATCAAATGTAAGTATAAACAAATATCAAACAATTATATCTTTTATGGTGATCCATTGTGTTAATGTCAATAAAAAAATAATTGTTTATGTATTTATTTATTGCAGGTGGCGAATTTTCCAACTGGAATTTCAGAAGACTGGATAATATATTTAGAAATAAGTGGCAAGGAGACATAACCTATTTGTTCTAAAACAACATTAGTAGATCTGTTGACTGACGGTCGAGAGAAAGAAAAAGTTGTTTCGAAATATTCATTTCATCGAGAAGAATTAAATCAACGAGACGATATGAATCCCCTGACGAATATTAAAAATATTAAGAAACTTGGAGAGCAAGAGCTATCAGCGAATAATAAAACATCGTGGCACGATCAGTATAAGGACAGTGCGTGGATTTTTATCGGTGGTTTACCTTATGATTTGACAGAAGGGGATGTGATAACTATTTTTTCTCAATACGGTGAACCCGTTAATATCAATTTAGTCAGAGATAAAGAAAGTGGAAAATCCAAAGGATATGGATTTTTGTGTTATGAAGATCAGAGAAGTACTGTTTTAGCGGTTGACAATTTGAATTCGATAAAAATTCTTGGTAGAACTATCAGAGTGGATCATGTATCGAATTACAAAGCTCCTAAAGTGTCTAAAAACAGTGAAGGAACAACCAAAAAACATCGAATGAACGACAACGATAAAAACTAAAAATTTTAAACTGTGAAAATACTATGGCATTGTGTAAATTGAGTGAATGGTGTGTGAATATCAAATATGTATGGTGAATGAATAAATGAACATTAAATAATAATACTCATTCGATGGCAATGGTTTTTATTGTAGCAAAAGGATTTACTGATTAAAAATAGAAGTACTGGGGTTTTGGGAACAATTTTATAAACAAAGGGAATTGCTGGTGTGGGGAAAATGGAATTTTCAGAGTCTCAAGAAAGCTTTTCTCGTTTTGCCAGTGGGAATCTGGCCTTGACGTCGGATTCTACGAACAGCTTCTCGAAGATGTTTGGGCTGGAGAGGTCCTGACTCGTTATTCGCTTCCATCACATCCAGAGCTGTTTGAATAAATAATATTTGAATCAGGAACTGCTGATGCCATACTGATGAATTTTTCAATATGAAAATCGTCGTGTACCTTCTTCCACAATTTCTCCTACGAACACTTTAGCAATTCCAGACATTGCGATTACGACATTCTGAGAGACTGAGCATCCAGTTATTGTCTGCATAATCTGAATCAAATCCAGGATTTAAAAACTATCAATTGCTCCAGGTGAAAATGAAATTGTCTGGAAGGAATTAGCTTACTCTTTTTATCGCTGCTTTTGGAAACGCAGCTCTCCTGTACATTTCATACCTATCCAGCTGATCCTCAGTGAAGTTAGAAACGAGAACTCTAATAAATCAAAACGAAAAATGAAAATTATCCAATACCCACGAAATCCAGGAGTAATTCGTGGCAATTAGTATAATTACTGCATTTTCTCTCGCTCCTCTTCCTCCAACTCCTTTTTATTTTTCTCTTTACTCTCTCTTCGCTCTTTTATTACGACAGGTGCTGCTTGGGGAAGAACGATATCAGAATGAAATAAATCATCGACTCCTTTATGTCTAGTCGTCTCGATTTCCATTCCAGATGAGTCGTTGCTGCTCCTAGGGTCTGAGAATCGTTTTTCAGGACTCAGAGTTGTCAGGTCATTCGAAGGCACCATGTCTGAATCAGAAGCAGCATCAGCTCCAGAACTATCCAATTCAGTCTAGAAAATAAAACTTTATCTCGTCAGTTCAATGAATTATTTCGGTTCTGAATAGACGAATTAGAAATTAACGTATGAATTTTTGTGTAATTACCCGAATTTACCTTTATTTCGTGCTCCTCAACATCAATCATATCATCTTTATCAACACCCACATCACTATCTCTATTAGAATCCTTAATTCCAATCCCATTATTTTCGTTTTCGTTCTCCGAATCGTCTTTTCCAAACAAATTATCCATTTCGATCTGTAGAAAAATTCTGTCGAATCACAAAACCGAAAAAAAAACTTGGGAAATCAATTACCGGAAATAGATAAACAACAAAACAGACATAATACATTATTCTGTTGCTTTCCACAACAAAATTGTTGTCTCAATACCTTTATGTTTATAACCTCCAAGAAATCATTGACTGATATTTATCCCTCACCCGCCTAAATAATTAGCGCAAATGGTTAATTAATTTATAATTATGCAGTCGTCAGCTGTCAATTTTTGTAATGTCAATAGTATTCATGGAATTTATTATTTAAATCCGGGAATCTTTCCCTTTCGAGCATTTCGAGGGGAATTGTTTACACTAACAATGTTTTTATGATTTTACACCGAGAGAAATAATGAAGTACAGTTTGGTCATGACGTCATGGAGAGAAACGATGAGCTGTAGATTTTTTGGTGGTGACCAATGGCAAGTGGTTAACGTAGAATTTATTTTGACCAATTGGCAAGCGCCAGCTGGGGTTTTTGGGAGTTTGACAGAATCCAACGTGGTATAAAGCCGCTTATTGTGAAGGCAACAGAACGAACAATTGTTATTTGTGAGTGCAAACATTGTTTATGAGTATTTATGTTTGGATAAACAAATCGATCGATATTTGGGGTACTTCTGTGGCCTTGGACTGATTTATTTGGATGAAAAAGTGGACTGTTTGAGGCTTCTCCAGTTGGCATAACCTGTGGGCTTTTTTTCTTGCTGATTTTGAGAAGAAATTTGACAATTCGCGTTTGTTAGTTTATTCTCGGGGTTTTGATCAGTCCTCGAGATCTTTTAGGGGTGGAGTTTCATTCGGTTAAACGTGGTCGATTCATTTTTTAGGTTTCGGTATATATTGATAATATATTTCGGGATTCATTGATCCATTCGTTGGAGAATTTGTCGAAGGAGCGAACGGGTAAAGTGAGATAAATCGAATTCAATGTTTTTTGGAATTATCAATTTGTTTTCGAAACTGATCGTTTAATTCAACTATTAAGTCAATTTAATTGTCCATTAATTTGTTTAATTATTAGAAAAAGGGCTTCTAATATTTCATTTTGGGAACAATACTTCGTTATCAATCGATATTCAATGAAATTGGAAAATTCCACTCGTGAGATTGGAATTGAATTTTTAATTTAGAATTTTGATTTGTTTTTCTAGATTTGTAATAAAATATCAAGATGTGGCGAGTTACGATAATATCCCTCGTCGTGATCTTAGGAATAGGTTTCGAAGCTTCTGCTCTCAAGGAAGGAGAGTGCGAGGGTAAGAAACGATTAATTCACATTAATAATGGATTATAACTACTGATCCGTGTAATTAATACTCATGTTTTGCTCTGTTTTCAGTTTGTGTAGCGACAGTTAAAAAATTCGCTGCAACATTGAGCGAAGATGTGAAGAAGGACACGAAAAAAATAGAGAACGAGTTCAAAAAATTCTGCAAGGGTTCGAAGTCTAAGGAGAATCGGTTTGTGAGTATTAAGAAAACTTTTGTCCTTTCAGTCGAGTCATTGGAGAAATTATCTGACATTTTCTTTCTGTCTAGTGTTATTATTTAGGCGGTTTGGAAGAATCAGCAACAGGAATTCTTGGAGAACTCAGTAAACCACTCTCTTGGTCACTGCCAGCTGATAAAATCTGTGAAAAACTCAAGAAAAAAGATGCACAAATTTGTGATCTCAGATTTGGTGAGTAACTCCAAAGATAAAATCAAATAATTTCCAATTTAGCAAAGCAATTGATCGACGTATTGATTTTAAATTTTTAATTGCAGAGAAACAAATTGATCTGGATACGGTAGATTTGAAAAAACTAAAAGTTCGTGATCTCAAGAAAATCCTGAATGACTGGGACGAGACGTGTGAGGGGTGCATCGAGAAAACGGACTTTATAAAGCGAATCGAGGAGCTCAAACCACAATATTTCAGCCCCTCAAAAACCGAACTATGAAGACTTGATTAAATCCACAATTCCTCATAATTTCCTCCATTAGTCTTCTTATTTCTCTCATTTAGCTCAATGTCACAATAAATTCATCATAAATCGAATGCCAGTATCAGTGTTTATAACCGATTGACGAGTGTGAATGAAGAGTGAAAGAAATCGAATATTTATAAATAAAAAATTCCAAATTTCATCGTATTTGAATTTGTATATCAATTTGTTACATTTGTACCCCAAATGTATATTTTTTAATTCATTAAATTACACGATTGACTAACTAACCCAGTGTATCGCCTCTAATTCTGGGAATTAATTGAACACCTGAATTTTTATTTTTCCATCATTCCCTCTGACTCGAAGAATCTTTCTATTTCTGCCAAAATCACGAGCTCCATATCTTCGTTTCCACTCACTTCCGTTCGATTGCTCGTGCGGATAGTGATATCATCCGAGGGGAGGACCTCGAAAGAGAATCCCTAGCATCAGCGGAATATTTTTGCGTCTAGGATGAGAATCAAAACATCAACTGATGCTCGGATCCATGAGAGTGGAGATTTGTCCGTTGAAGGGGATGTGGGACAGAGACAGAGTAACAATCATCCTCTTTGTGCTCTGAGGCGCAAGCTTCTTCGAGAAGTCGAGAGCATGAATTCGGAAGAAATTATTACCAGATGGAATTCAGTAACGAAGAGCAACAAGTAGATTTATCAAATACATAAGTTCTCGAGTAAAATCTGCAACTATCTCTTCATCTATGGGAGATGACGAATTTTTTCTCGGGAGCTTTTTTCCAGCTCTCAATCTACTCGAAAAAAATACTCTTATCAAAAATTTCGCTATCTGTCTTGGATTCGCTGATATTAGCGCAATAATCGACTAGGAAAATTGTGCGATTCGTTACTTTGTATTTGAAAATTACTTGAATTGTAGAATTCTTCTCGGATTTCTTCATCATTTATTTTTTCTAGTGGTGGAGAAAAGTCAGTGTCACGCTGAGCTCGTATGTGTGGGAGGGAGAGTGCGTTGAAAAAATAGAGGCAGATAGTCAGAAGCCGTCAAGAGAACCAGTCGAGACTTCTCTTGGTTTACGATTTTTTAGAGTTCGGTTTTGATATTCTCAATCGTTTTTCGTGTTTTTGATGATGAAGTTGATTTTTGTGGCCACGGTGATGCTCCTAGGGCTTGTGATGAGCGAAGAACTGAGTTATGAATTTTCGAGGGTGAGGAAGAGGCAGAATGCTGATTCCTTCGAACAGTGCACTCCTGTTAAGTTTCTGATGGGACAGCTGGGAGTTGTTAATGTTATAGCGTTTCTCGATAATTCTTGGCCGTATAGTCATAAACAAGCATCTATGTGAGTATAATTTTAAAGTAATTAGTCCGTTCTAATGTTTCTAGTAATAATCTTATCAAGCCGACGATTCACAATCGCTTACAAAATAATTCAATAAAAAGGTCATTGCTTTTCTATTGAGAGTTTGTTCAAATTTTACCGAATCCTCGTTGGAATTTTATTCCTTTTTCACAAAAAGGAGAACAGAAACGATTTAAAGAGAAGAACAGAAGATTCGAAATTATTTCAATTCTTCAATTTACTGAGAAGTTTTTGAGAAAAATCTCGTCATTCGTAGGAGATAACGAAATTTTTATAAGAACATTTTTGGTAGTCCTCACTCCGATCTCCAAAAAAAGTTCAGACAAGAATTTCTGTATCTCTCATAGATTCCGAGGTATTTCCTGAAAATGAAATATGATTGGTCCTTCCTCTCAGGTTGAAACTCCTGAAAGATCGGCTGGAGCGATCGGGACTCCCTGAGGCCCTCTTCTTCGTCATAACATCAAACTCCCCAGAGAATCCCTTTGAGGACATCTCCGAGGAGGAAATCGAGAGAGAGGCGTGGGACGGAGTGGCTCCAGAAGAAGCTATGGAGCTCTCCTCAGGGCTCTTCCCCCCTGAACCTCTGGAGAAGACACTATCCCCGGATATTTTTCTGGTGGAGGACAGCGAGGAACTCGGGATATGGAAGGAGCTTCACGGGTCCAGGGACCAGATCCTGGTGATCGACAGGTGTGGAAAACTCGCGTACCAGGTGATCGTCCCCTGGAGCATCCTCCACTTTCCCTACGTCAAGGCCGCGATCTTGTCGACCCACAAAGATGATCCCTGTGGGCCCTGCGATGCTTATGCCACTGTTGTCGAGCTGGAGAACACGTTAGGTAGGAGAACACCAAATTTTCACTTCAATTTTTGTAACTTACATCAATTTGATGTCACTAATTCATTATTTCTCCAAATCAGAAGATCGATCGATCCATTAAGAACTGAAAATCAAAAAAATTTCTATCTGTTCTTAAAGCAGGTGTCACAGATGTTAACACAGAAACCGTAACGATTTCGCCCGAATTAATCCCGGAAAATGTATTTCCCCCCGAAGAAGTCGTCGAAGAGCTAGTGCTTCCCAGTCTGCGGATCATCATGCACGCGCCTCACTATCACCCTGGCTCGGAAAAGTTGAACGAGTACGTGGTCTTGAACGCCGATAAAGCAGTTTACCATGGACACCTGGAGGAAGAGACGAGTGAGATGACAATCAAGCCCTCAGAGCTGGCGAGTCTCGTCTTCGAGAGTGACGAGAGTCCAGGGCTGTACGGCGAGGTCGCTGATTTCTGGAGGGACGGGGGTGAGGAGAAGATTGATGAAATCGTGTCCTCAGGTGATGGAGGCAGTGGAATTATACCACCTGCTCCAGGAGATCTCATGGATGAGGCGGTGACGAGTGTCGCGGAATTCACGGTTGAAGAAGAAGCCTCCAGGAGTAGATTAATTGCTCATTACAGCAAATTACTTCCTTGGATTTATTACATCCTGGATGAATGATCCTCGATAAAATCAATTAATTAAACGTCTAAGATTTTTCATATAAATTCATATTCTGCAGTATGTAGTACAGTAATCTACAAATAAAAATAAATACATGTTCTATATCAAATTTCATGTGGTAGTTTTAACAGAAAGCTTTTTCAATATTTCCGAAGTGAAACGGGAATTAGTTAATGATCTCCATCCCTCGAGTCATCGCTGTGCAACGTCTCCCCTATCTCCAGTATCAAAGGGCCCTTGGTCCTCCCACTGGATTCATCACTGGATTCACTGGAGCTGTCGCTGGAGCAGCTGCAGCTGCTGGAAGAGAATGAGCTACTGGAGCTGGAATCATCATCAGAATCTTCAGAGTCATCACTCCCTCCCATCCCCATTTTGTCCAACTGATTAACAACATCGTGAATGGAATTGCCAATTATGAGATTCTCTTCCTCAGAATTACCCTGTAATTCCCCCTGGTTCTCCTCCTGGAGGACTGCCCAGGCTGCTGCCTCCAGCTCCACGAGATCGAACCCCATGTCCTCTTTTCTGGGGATGAGTCCATCGAGAGCATTGAACAGCGATAGGAGGAGGGAGTCGGGTACCTGCTGGATCCAAACGAGATAATCCCTGATGTATAGTTGATTATGAAGATATCTTGGCTCGAAGGAGTGGTTGAAGAGATCGTGAATCTCGCACAGTCTCTTCAGGATCATCTTTTTTCCAATCTTGAGGATCTGCTTGACGTCCTCCAGGACCTTCATCGAGAGCTCCCAGTGACGATAGAGGGGATACGTCAGGGATCGCCTGATTGAGGTTCTCAGGACGTCCTCCAGGGTGGAATACGTTTGCAACCAGGAGAGAGTTCCTGAAATTTTATTGATGTCCCAACTGCTCTCAGAGGATGTCTCCCCCAGAGAGACTCGGTGGCTGTAACAAGAAGCAAATAGAATGTCCACCAGACTGTAGAGCACTGTCTGCTTCTCCTCATTGTCCAGAAGGTACTCCTTATTGGGACACTCCTTTAGAATATCTTTCTCCTGATCTGTCAGTAGGATGGGGTCAGTGGAGTACCAGAATGGAGAGAACAGAATGCTGGGATTCACTGTTTCCTCTGCTTGCACCAGGTCCGCCATGTAGTGGTCCTCTGAGAAGTGGTCCTGCTCTGAGGATTCTCTCAAGGACTTTCGTTGGTCTGACGGGGTTGAATCAGGGAGCGGAAGATCAATCACGTCCCTCAACCAACCAGCCTGGCATTTTATTAGGATTCAAACACATAATTACCTTGAATTTTGCTAAAATAAAAACTACAACGTGGACTTACCTCGAAGGAGGTGAGAGCTCCAGAGATTTTATTCGCAAATCCATATTTTGGAGCTCCAGACAGAATATGAGACACCCCAGGAGCCACTGGCACCTGGGGAACGAACCAGTCATCCCCGTCGTTGTCATTTTCCTGTTCTGGATCATTCACCAGGGGATCAAGCTCATCATCGTGGGGAGCAGCTGGATTTCCGATTACTTCGATATTCGGAACAATGTCCTTTTTCTTCGGAGGGGCCAGCAGAGTCGTGATCATGTCCAAACCCTCGAAATTCTCTCCTTTATTAACTTTTGAGAATTTCAGAGTGAAAGTTCCACTGTCGCAGTCGTATGAGCCCTTGGAGTCGTCGTTCTCCACGATTTCCCCTGGCAGTTTCAATCTGAAATACATGGTTCACCCCCGGAGTCTTGACAATTCTCTTCTTCGTGGATTTTCAGTACAATTGATTAACTGTAAACACTCACCGCAGGTAATAGGGAGTTGAATAGAAACGAAAGTCATTTCCGTCAACGTACACCTCGGTTTCACGAATATTCGCGTATCGCGCGTAAATGTTTATTGTTATCCCTTCGTCATCTTGTTTTAAGTCAAATCTAGGGGTCAGCATGATTATGCTTGGGAATCAACAATAACAAAAATACGGGGCAATGGCGTTTCACGTGGTAGCACTTCTAGTACGAGTGCAACGGTAATTCGGAGAACTAACCGATAGTCCTCGAAGAGGGGGTGAACCCACTCGTAACATGCCTTGCCCACGTGGGTGATAATAAAACTGAGACGACGATGATTTTCTAGGAGTTGAGCAAGTTGCAGATTAAATTTAAATGAGAGGTGATTAATTTTTTAAATAGACAAAGTTACAGGACATTGAATTTTCGAGGAGTTGATCCCTCAGGATTGGTAGAATGAGATTGGAAAATTGTGGCGGCATTTTAAAGATATTTTTTCAAGCTTTAAAATCACAGCTGACGTATTAAAGTCACATCATTTGTTCAGGAGATATCGAAGATTGTCTGACGTCATTCATAGCTAATGATTTTTTCATTTTCAGGGGTTGAGAAACGAATGCGGAATGGGATAACCCCGATGTCTAGGCTAAATAAAACGTCTGGATTATTGATAGGTCCAGTCACTCTGGAACCCTCTCCTAAGAGACGGAAATTAAGAAAATTCGAGAGATCACCAAAAACGGTGGAGCAACCTGTGGCCTCTATCGACGATCTGAATGACGACTGTCTCGAAAGAATCTTCAAGTATCTACCCCTATCATCTCGACTGATAGTCAGAATGGTATCCAGACGATGGAGAAAAGCATCTAAATTAGCCTGGAGCAATGTCAGAGCTGTGAACTTCTCAGAATCCGCAGTCTGGACAGACCTGGACGAGCTCCCCCCAGTCTTCAGAACGAACGCTCACATCGGGGTCATCCTGAGGAGTTGTGGGGTATACCTGAGGAAATTGGAACTAGGGGAGCCCTGCACTTATAAAATCCTGACACTCGTTGGAGAGCACTGTATTAATCTAGAAAGACTAGAAGTTGCCTTTGAGAGGTATGGCGAGAGGTTCACCACTCTCTTCTCAAAAATGGAGAGGCTCGAGTACTTTGGGATGAGAAATATCAGGAGGAACGTCTCTGGAGACTTCTGGGGAAATCCCATGACTAATTTGAAGGAGCTTCACCTCCGGGGACGCTATTTCACGAAAGATTCTACAATCAGGCCCTCGATTTTTTCCTCTGTACGTTTTAATTTTTTCCTGAACTATCATTTCTGTGGAATTTATACAATTTTCTATTTGTCAGGCGTTGGAAACCCTTGAGAATCTATCAGCAATCACATTAGATGGTTTCAACATAGACCAGGAGGTCATCGCTCTTATAAGTACGAGAACTGGCCTCACCCACCTATCCCTTGCGAAAACCTACAGCAAAGATCTCTCATCCCTATCTCAACTAGTTAACCTTCAGCACCTGAATCTCAGCACAACCCCAGCGACTAACGATCTAATGATCGAGCTCACGAAGAGGTGCAAAAACCTGAGGCACTTAAACCTAAATCAGTGTCAATTTCTCAGCAATACAGGACTCATTACTCTAGGAAGTCTTCCCTGTCTAGAAGTGCTCCTATTAAATTCCTGTGGTTTCTTCGTCACAGACTCGATTTTTGGAAAGCTTCACAGCCTCAAGAAACTAGAATGTAGAGGCTGCAAGAATGTCAAGGACGATGGGATCATCGAACTCCTGAGAAATGCCCCCAACCTGGGGGAATTAAATCTAGCTGATACTGGAGTCAGTGATAAAGTTCTAGTTGTAGCTTCTCAAGTCACCAGAGCAAGAGAAAATAATCTCGATCTTTGGGTGATTGTTAATAAAATTGTAAAAGCCAGATGGAGGAGGCGACTAGACTACGTCCATTCCCATCTCCTGGAAGTCAATAATCTAACTGGAAGATGTGATACGGAAGCTGATACTTTGATAGAGACATACGAGGGAAATAATTTATTTTGCAACCCCGAGCTGGAGAGACTCGATCAATTATTCAATAATCATGATGGAGATGACAGTGAAGATGATGATTACCCGTGAAAGAATAATTAATCCCAATAAATTGGAGCTTTAAATTATTTTTACTCAACCCCGATAACCCAAGCGTTTTATTTAATCTTATCTTCTTTAATCACTATTTAAAGTTTCACGAGAAAATATTTTCAGAATATCTAAGTCCTCCACGATCATTTAAAACGGGAAAAGAAAGGCGGAGGAGTTGGTAGAAAGCTCCTTCTGTAGCTGTCCATGTTCCAACCAGCTCTGTACCTCAACGCATCTACTAAAGTCTGCACATGAACACACTGATTTGACCACAGAGGAAATACAGTGGAATTCTCGAGATATATCTCCATCTCACCATCACACTTCTTTTTAGTTTGTCCAGGACTCTTCTCCGTAGATTCTTGAACCACTTGAGATGCTTCAGTCTCTTGATCCACTTGCGAATCCACTGCATCGTCTGCTGGAGCTTCAATTTTGTTAGGGAACTCTTTTAATTCTGGATTTGAGTCGTTGATAGCGTTCGCTGGTATCTCCTGGTGAGTAGATGAATCTTCAGGGACTTCCGGAACTTCAGGGACTTGAGGGACTTCTGGAATTTCAACGACTAGTGGAGAGCTCTCAGGAATTGAGACTAGTGATGAATCAGGCTCAGTCCTTTCAAATTTCTCATCTGTCACTGATCGTTTCCTCAATATTAGCGCGTCGATTTTCTCTCTCGCTAGGCTTTGAGACTCGAGGAATTTTTGCAACCGTTCACAACATTGTTGTGGAGGTGGATTGTTTATGAACTCCACCGGCTCAAAAGGTTGACCAATCCAACCAGTATACCTCGTCAGCCCAATGATACCCCCGAATCCGATGAATATAATAAGCTCTACATAAAGTATTCCTCTCAGAAATAGGGCCCAATTGAACCTGGAGTCTTTTTCCAGGAGCATGAAGTTGTGGGAGACGCCACCCTCTTCGACGCTTTTTGTAGCTGAGACGTTTCAAAATAAGTCTTAGTTTTTTTTTAAATTAATTAATTAGTCTTGATTAATGACTTTAAAATGGAGGATGTCATGAGACATTCGTGCTCGTTAGGGAAAATTTAATTTGTACATAATTACTTACTGCCCTTGATAGTTGTCATCTTCTTGTTTCTGTGAAGACTGAACTGTGAAGACACTTCATCAGCTTTTATAGATATCTGATGACCTCGCGGAAACCCGGAGGTCATCAGATTATCAAAAATATTCAACATCGTAGTTTTTATTATCATTACACAATTTCCCGGTTTAATGTAGAGATATTTTCGATGAACGCGGAAAATTCCAAAAGAAACGTCGATCGAAAGATGAAATGAATATATAAAATGGAAATGACTCACCGGCGTTGGATGGAAAACAAATCCGTTTGATCTGTTTCCACCGGCTTCCATTTTCTTCATCTCCTACCGCGATTCCAGTCCAGGGTGATGCATCCTTTATTCCTCTCGATGGCATTTTCACTTCCAAAACACTTCACTTCACTTCACTTCACTTCACTTCACTTCACTTCACTGATTATCAAATAAATAAATCACAGGAATCCATTGTCACACACGGAAATATCACCACGGGTACACAGAAAGAAATAAACCACGAAAAAATACCCCACACATCGAAAAATTGTTGAAACCCACCCAAATTAATGAATCATAGGAAAATTAACACGGGTCTATTCTTTCTGTGGTTCTGTTCCTCAGGTATTCATCACTACAATTCACTACAACCCAATGAAAAATATTTTTTTTCTTGATTTTAGAATTTTCCTCCACAAAAATGGACACTAAATGCACTCCACGCATTTCAGGACTCGACACTGATGCAAATAATGTTCTTGCTGGATTAAACATTATAGCATTTCGTTAAGAACAACCCACAAATTATAAATAAAGAAAATCTACCGGCTTTTTGTCACCTCGTATATTATTATCACAACAAAGGCTGTTGGCCATTGACACGTCGAGGTCTTTGTTTCAACTGACTCCTTTGTTCCGATTATCTGTTGACTTCCAGTGCATTCCCGGGGTTTTCGGGGGTGACGTTCCTTATTTCAGGGATTTCAACGAGATTTTTGTGAAAACGTCCCGCCAAAAACTCACGAATGAGATCCCTTAACGGTTTACAAGATGGCGGCAGTATGAGGCAGGCGCGCACGCGTCTTCGAATCCCGGCGCGACTGCGCAACACTTTGGAGTCGAAGGACTATTCAAATTTTGAGAAGGATAGAAACAGAATTAAATCAATTGGCCAATTACGACATTTTTATAATTTATATAAATAACTCTCAGAAGTTTTTCCACTGCACTTGACAAAATTTACTTGATTTACTTCAATAATTTAATATCGTACTTACCATTTTGGGCGGAGGAATTTAAGGCCCGGATGGATTATCTGGAAAATATAATTTACTTGGAAATTTTGACTGCTAGTTACTCCGGAAATTAATCGTTTTTTCCAATAATTGATGGAGTAATTAGGAGTGCCAATTTTGGAGTAAATCATCTTTTTCCAGACAATCCAACCGGGCTTTAATTCCAATTTCAAAATGCGGCATTCCAGCGCAGTCAATCACTTGGTTATACACGCACTCGCGATTTATCTGATGGAGCCATATATCTGGCATCTCGACATCATCTGACCGAGAGATAAAATCATCTCGAAAATTCAAACCCCCGAACCGACCACGAAAAAATCCACGAAACGGATACGATATATTAATAAATAAATTTCACTCACCGGCGTTGGATGAAAATAAGTCCGCTTTCAATTTTCACCTTTCGAACGACCTACCTTAACTGTAAACATAAAAAAAAAACAAATTGTTAATGAAATTTCGACAAAATAATTTTTTTACTGCAAAGGAGATTTTTAATTTTGATTTGGGAGTTTTTATTTTAAATTATTATTTAAAGTTATTTATTATTTTTTATTTCAATTTTTTTTATTTTATTGGAGAGTTAATTGAATAATTGAAAATGGTTTGTAATGTAAGCTTTGAATATATCAAGAATCAGGAAGGAAAAAAATGATATGAAAATAAAATGAAAATGATGCTTCAAGGTCATAAAAGAAATGCATACGAAACTCACCTTGCAGTCGGTTGCAAGATTCCCTCCAATCCTGAAGATCTCTATGTGATTCTGACGCCAAAGGTTGAAGTCGGCTTGGAAGCACCAGCACTCGAGACAGTTCAAAAATTCACTAATCACTCACCACACAACCAAGAATGTTTTATCAACTCAAAATCCACAAAGATGAATAAAATAATATCAAAGATCAAATAATATTTTTGATCATCCAAAATAAAATGAATGAGAAAAGTAATCCTTCGAATGTAATTCGCACTCTCACTTCAGTCCGTATCTAAACACACACTAAACAATTCCGAGAAATGGACAAAGGAATTTTTGTAAACACACTGACGCCGGGCGGCCGTTCGGCAATACCGAAGTTCAGTGTAACAAAGGAAAAATCTCAATCACTCAAAATGCTCTGATAAACTGTTTAAAAACTTATTTCACATCCCACAATCACTTGCACTGAGTCCTGCACTTTGTATTTTCAATGTTCACAGGCGGTGCCGGTTTTCTGCACTCACTAAAACCCCGATATTAATGGATTTTCACTACGCGACACGGGACCGACCGTTCCACGCACTCCCGCCGAACGACTGACCCCCACTCAAAATGGTAGGGCGTTGGAGACGGCGCTCGAGTGGGGGGGGTCGCCAGGCGATACGCCGCGCATGCGCACAGAACACCCCGCGTGCGCACAGAACACCCTGCATGCGCACAGAAAACCGCGGGCAGTCTCAATTTGACGAGATAAGATAATTTCAATCGTCACCAGAGAGTTTCCTAACCTCCAGAACCTCACGTGTCCTTCCGAACTCTCACGTGTGCTCCACCAACACTCGGTGTTTACCAAAAAAATTGGATAAAATGTGAATCCCTACTGAAAACCAGTGGTGATTTAATTAACATTGGAATTTTTTTAAAAACAATTACCTGGAGTGACATCAATTAAAACCAGTAAAGTCTTCTTCGAGACTTCAAAAATATTGTACTATAGATATTGAAGTAAAAAAAACCTGTCGACATATAATAAAATAAAATAAAGCATACAATAGTTAATTTTTTTAAAAGCAATAGACATGGGGTCCAAGTTTGGTTTATCCTCAGATAACAGTGCAAAGCACCTGTACCCGAAGAGTCTAATCTTCTCAGTCTTCACAGCTGAGGACATAAAAAATCTGAGTGTGGTGAAAATTTGCACTCCATTATCCTTCAATGTCCTGGGGCATCCTCTTCGAGGGGGCCTGTACGACCCCTGCCTGGGGCCCCTAAATGACCACTCGGACCCCTGTGGCACCTGCGGGGAGAACGTTTACACCTGCACCGGACACTTTGGTCACATCGAGCTGCCGGTGGTGGTGGTCAATCCCCTCTTCCACAAGGTCCTCTGCAATGTCATAAAACTCTCCTGCCTCAGCTGCTTCACACTCCAGATACCAGCGCACGTTAAAATCCTCCTGGCTGCCAAATTAAAGCTGATAAACGAGGGCTTTTACACTGACCTGGAGGGAATTGATCAGGAAGTCTCGTCAATTCTGGCTGAACCTGGAGTTGGAAGCGAGGGTCAGGCGCAGCTGGTGCGCGAGGCCATCGAGGTTTATGTGAAAAATCTCCAGAGAAGACGAAAACTCGAGAAAATCTGTGACGACGATCTCCAGGTCAACACAAAGAACGTCAATACTCTGTGGCAGATTCATATCGAGTCTGCCCTCAAGCAGTACAAACCTGGGAAAATCTGTCTCTACTGTCGATTCCCAATCCCCAAGGTTTCCATTCTAAAGAATAGGATAATGATTAATAACCCAGGAATGATCAACGATGAGCAACAGGCCGTTGTCCAGAAGACTCAGAGTATCCTGTTGATGCCAGATCAGTCCAGGAAGTACCTGAGACGGATTTGGAATAATGACATGGAAATATTAAACGTGATAGTGCCCTGTCTCACTGGTTTATCCATCGAATACCCCGTGGACGTCTTCTTCTTCGAAGTAATTCCAGTGCTTCCACCAGTGGTGCGTCCAGTGAATTTCCTGGATGGACAGCTGCTGGAGCACCCGCAGACCCAAGTGTACAAGCACATAATGCAGGACTGCCTGGTCCTCAGGAACATCATCCAAACGATTCAAGACGGTGATACCAGTCAACTCCCCGAAGAGGGAAAACTCGTCTTCGAGACAATTCGAGGTGCAACACCCCTGGAGAAGCTCCACAACGCGTGGTCAGCACTCCAGGGTAACGTCGATCATCTGATGGACAGGGACATGTCGAAGACATCAGAATCGATGACATGTCAGGGGTTAAAGCAGATAATCGAGAAGAAAGAGGGAACAATCAGGATGCACATGATGGGAAAACGTGTAAATTTCGCTGCCAGATCAGTGATAACTCCAGATCCAAATTTGAACATCGACGAAATTGGAATTCCTGAGGCATTCGCCCTGAAACTCACGTACCCAGTGGCAGTGACACCCTGGAACGTAGCAGAGTTGAGGGAACTCGTGATGAATGGTCCTGACCAGCATCCAGGGGCTGTGAAGATCGAGGGAGAGGACGGCCACGTCAGGAGAATAAATCCCTTAGACAGAGTCAGCAGGGAGGCAATAGCCAAAAGACTCCTGACGGAGGGCCACAAGAACCAGAAATCTTTTCAGGGCGTCAAGATCGTTCACAGGCACCTCCAGAATGGTGACATTCTCCTCCTGAATCGTCAGCCAACCCTCCACAAACCCTCGATCATGGCACACAAGGCGAGAATTCTCAAGGGAGAGAAAACTCTTCGTCTACATTACTCAAACTGCAAAGCCTACAACGCTGATTTTGATGGGGACGAGATGAACGTTCATTTTCCCCAGAACGATGTAGCCAGGGCTGAGGGCTACTTTATAGCTAATGTCTCCAATCAGTACCTCGTCCCCAAGGATGGAACACCCCTGGGGGGTCTCATTCAGGATCACGTGATATCTGGAGTACGTCTGACTCTTCGAGGAAAATTTCTCTCGAAGCAGGATTACATGCAGCTGGTGTACGCAGGACTTTACGATCATCGAGGGGACATTCAAATTCTTCCCCCGACGATTATAAAACCTGTCGAGCTCTGGTCCGGGAAGCAGGTTCTCTCCACGATCATCATCAACAGCATTCCGAAGGGAAAAGCCAGGATCAATCTAACAGCTGGTGCTAAGATCCCAGCGAAGTCCTGGGAGACCTCTCCACCGAGAAAATGGAGACAGGGAACCGAATTTTCTGATCCCAAGACCATGTCAGAGGCTGAGGTCATCATCAGGAAAGGAGAGTTACTCTCTGGGGTTTTGGATAAAACTCACTACGGGGCGACTCCCTACGGACTCATCCACTGCATGTACGAGTTGTACGGTGGTCCCTGTTCCTCGAAAGTCCTCAGTGCCTTTGGAAAAGTCTTCCAGTCCCACCTCCAGCTCTGTGGATTTACCCTGGGTATCGAGGACATCCTGGTCCTCCCTGACAGCGACAAGAAGCGACGTGAGATCATCGACCGGTGCAGGAAAATCGGTGATGACGTACAGAGGTCAGCTGTAGAGCTCCCTGAGGACACCCCCAGGGACGTCGTCCTCGAGAAAATGCAGGAGAATCATTGGAAGAATAAGAGGTTTCGAGGGCTCGTCGACAGGAAGTACAAAACTGCTCTGGATCCATTTACCAATGAGATCAATAAGACGTGTCTGCCTGCGGGGCTCAGGAAGAAATTCCCAGAGAATAATTTACAGCTGATGGTGACCTCTGGGGCTAAGGGATCAACTGTCAATACTATGCAGATTTCCTGTCTTCTGGGGCAGATTGAACTCGAGGGGAAGAGGCCACCCCTGATGATCAGTGGAAAGTCTCTACCCAGTTTTCCACCTTATGACTCATCACCTAGGGCTGGGGGCTTCATCGATGGCAGATTTATGACTGGAATTCAGCCACAGGAGTTCTTCTTTCATTGTATGGCAGGACGTGAGGGACTAATTGACACTGCTGTCAAGACTAGCAGATCTGGATACCTCCAGAGATGTCTCATTAAACATCTGGAGGGTTTGACTGTCGGGTATGACTCCACTGTGAGGGACTCTGATGGCAGTCTCGTGCAGATGTATTATGGAGAGGATGGCCTCGATATTCTCAAGTCCAGGTTCCTCCGGAGTGAGCAGATGGAGTTTCTAGTGGAGAACAGAGAGGCCATCGTCGATGAGGAACTGGTGGAAAGACTCAAAGAGACCAGTGATACCAGGAATATTCAGAAGATGAGGAAGAGACTGAGGAAGTGGAAGAGCAAACATGGGGAGGAATTCAAGAAGCGCAGAATGAGTGGATTCACCCTTTTTTCGGAGGAGTTGGCAGGAAGTGGAGGAAAATTCAGTGTCATTGATCCGAATATTGGGAGGAGCAAAGGGTCTTTGTCCTTGACGAGAAAGTGGATTCGAGCTGATGAGGAGGTGAAGAAGTCCTTCGAGCGAAAAATCCCCAGGTGTCCAGAACCTCTGACCTCGATATATCGTCAGGACATTCACTTTGGGGTTCTCTCAGAGCACCTGGAGGAGCTCGTGGAAGAGTACCTGAAGTCAAGAGCGGGTAAAAACTGTGGTAATGAGGTGTCGAGGGATGATATCAGGGATATGCTGTCCTGTAAAGTGATGAGGACCTTCTGCCCACCTGGAGAGGCTGTGGGTCTCCTCGCAGCTCAGTCTATTGGTGAACCCTCCACCCAGATGACACTGAATACTTTCCATTTTGCGGGTCGTGGAGAGATGAACGTGACCCTCGGTATTCCTAGACTCCGGGAGATCCTCATGATGGCGTCGAAGAACATCAAGACACCTAGCATGGAGATCCCCTTCAGAAATGACCTCAGGAACATCCAGAAACAGTCCAACAAGTTGAAGTTGAAACTCACCCGGTGCGTTCTGTCCGATGTCGTCAGGACAATTAAAATCGACAGGAAGATGGAAACTGGTCTGAATAGACAGCTTGAGTACACCCTGACGATTCAGTTTCTTCCACACAAAAATTACAAACACGAGTTCAACGTCAGTCCCAAGGAGGTCCTGGAGAGAACGGAAACGGGTTTTTTCAAGCTGATGTTCAGAGAGATAAAGAAGATAGCGAAAGTATCAGGGACTCTTCTGCATGTGGAAGACGAGAAGAAGAGGAATGCAGTGCAGGAGGACTCGATGCTGGACGAGGCTGAGGATGAGGGGTCTGTCAGGAAGATTAAGCAAGACTTTGGGGAGGAGCACGAGTCATCTGATGAGGATGAGGCACCTGAGGATGAGGATGCTACTGCTGCCAGGAGCAAGTTCAGGCATCAGGAGAATCGAGAGTACGATGATCCTGAGGAGGAGGAGGTAATCAATGACGAGGAGGACGACGACGATGAGGACAGGAAGATGGCAGCTCCTGAGGAGGAGATCGATGACGAGATTGAGATGATCGATCTTGCAGATCAGGCAGCTGCTGACCAGAGGAAGATTGACGTAACGAATATGTACAGTTATGCATTGGAGTATGATTTTGATGCGGGCAAATTCCTCTGGTGCAGATTCAAGTTTTGGCTGCCTCTGAAGATGATTAAGATCGATCTGCCAACGATTCTTAAAACTGTTGCAGGAAAAGTTGTCCTGTGGGAGACACCTGCCATCAAAAAAGCGTTTACTTTTCCTAATTCCAAGGGGGAGACTGTTCTCAAGACCGATGGAATCAATATTGTGGAAATGTTCAAGTATGATAGGGTGTTGGATATCCGGAAACTGTATTCCAACGATATTTATGGAATTGCACAGACCTATGGCATCGAGGCTGCCAACAAGGTCATTGTTAAGGAGGTCAAAGACGTTTTCAAAATGTATGGCATCACTGTGGACTCTAGACATCTCTCTCTCATTGCTGATTATATGACTTTTGATGGCACCTTCCAGCCCATGAGCAGAAAGGGCATGGAGAATTCCGCTTCTCCACTCCAGCAGATGAGCTTCGAGAGCTCGTTGACGTTCTTGAAGACTGCCACGTTGCAAGGTTGGTTTTTTAATAATATCCGGGAAACCGTGAGATGTAGAAATTTTTTTGTAATTATGTGTTTGAATTGTGGAAGATAATAAAGGTAAACGTCTTGTGGAGTCTGCAGAGACCTGGCAGACTGGAATTAATGATTTATTGATGTTTTTTCAGGCAAGAGAGATGATTTAACGTCACCTTCGAGTCGTTTGATGCTTGGACAGCCGTGCAAAACTGGCACTGGGGCATTCGACGTTTTCCTGAAGATGTCATCAGCGTTGAAACCAATCAAGTCATCCCTGTAGTCAGAAGTATCACTGACTTATTGTACATTTCACGTATTTTTAAGGATTTCGATGATTTTATTGCAACGATAAATTTAAACGCCAGTTATGATTTCTTATTTTATTATTCCATCGTGTATATTTCGAGAGGCCAAGTACATCAATCAAATTGTGATACTAAAATGAGTGGAAACAACGCAGCGATAATTATTTGCTATTTCTTATTCATGTTCAAACTCATGCTCACAGTCTTCTAGAATGAAAATAGGCTAGCAAATTCGGTGTCCGAAAAGAGTACACAATAAAATATGTACAAAAACGTGGCAATATCAATGCATCATTCTGTTAAAGTTTTCCAATTTTTTTCGCTAATTACATTCATTTTTTTTCGGTTAAATTATAATAATTATAAGGCAGAAGTTGTTTGTAGCTGCAAGCTTGTCTTAATTCTTGTGCTGCTCGATGCCGTCCTTGATTTTTTGAATGCTCGCACCAGAGAATTGGTGGACCTGAAGAGAAATTGAAGAAAGAATAATCAGAAAATGATAATGAGGATAAAGTAGTGGAATATCTTGAAATCTATTCGGGATAGCGAAATTCTCAATGGGACATCTTTTGTTTGAAAACTTGAGATCATCTATACTCACGATTTTTCCACTCTTGATGAAGACAAACGTAGGCATGCTGGTTATCTCGTATTCAGTGGAAATTTCCTCGTTCTCGTCGATGTCGACCTTGAGGAAAACAATATCTGTGAACTCGTTGGAGAGTTCCTCGAATTGAGGGGCAATAACTTTGCATGGGCCACACCAAGTCGCGAAGAAGTCGATGATGACAAGTTTGTCACCAGCTTCCGCCAGCCTCGTCTTCAGATCTTCCTGATTTACGAAAAATAATAATGATAAAATTTTTACTGTTGGATAGTTTTCCTTGGGGGATTTGAGAATTTAATTGAGGATCGTAGATTGATGAATCAGTCGTCTCTTTGATAAGCGACTCATCGGGAACATTCGAATTTGATTAATTATTGTGCAATCGCCCCAGGCAGACTCTATCTTCAGGACAATATTTATTACTCATCGGTTACTCATGCCTAAATGGATAAATTCCAATTACGGAAAATACATTAAAAATAACTTTGATGATGTGTTATTTGAATTACTTGGAAGGTCAGACATTAGATAAAATCGAAAGTAAGAAAAAATCGTTGTCGTTAGTAAATATCTTCCACACAGGTGATTTTATTTCTCATCGAGATCGATTCAGTCAATCCCGAGCTATTTCTCACCGCCGACCAGAATCATTCAAAATGTAAATAAAAAAAATCTCAAGACATCTTCCACATCATCATTAAAAGCATCTCTCAAAATCATTCAACAGGAAGACACGTATACCGATTCCTCTCATCCAACACATACACTCGACATATCCGTCTCATAATCGCGATCAAGGCCATACAACATCTCCCAACAGAGAAAGAATAATGGTCATCGTTTCATAACGAAATGAAACGTGAAAAAGACGCGCCCATAAATTCAGCCGATTACTAGCACCACAGCTGCACGCCATTAAAGTAAATAAAATAATGACATTATTCAATATTTATGCCAACAATGATTTCCCTATTCACCCGCCATTTCCTCGCAACTGTCGCAATTACCAACGACATACTACGCGAATTCGGAATTCCAAGAGGCGCCATGAAGTTATCAATCACGTGTGAATTTTTTTTATCAACAAGTGCGCGAGGAATTTGAAAAAAAATAAGATGTTTATGAAAATACGGAAGGGAGAAAAATGAATGATTTTATTTTTGATTTTGTACTCACTGTATCCTTGATGATGACGACCATTTTGAAGATTATCAATGGAAAATCTGAGAAATTAGAACAGATAATTGCACGTCAATACAAGTCAACAGCTGGGGACAAACTGGAGTAAAAGTCGCCCGTCGCCGGTTCGAGGCGTCGAATGCAGACGAAATCGATGTTAACGTCGCGAGGAAGGCGACCTCGTATGTCGGAAATGACCGAACACCTCCGAGGGGATCACGTGGGCCTGACGTTTGAATATTTCCTCATTCTATGTTAAGACCAACATTGGGGTTTAGTATGCTTTTCGAGTATTGATTCGGGAATGACCATGGAATGCTTTTTTTGTGTGAATTTCTGGATGCGATGTCGATAGAAAATCGCACACGCAATTTATTTCCTCGAGGTCGTGGGCTAGTGGGAATGGGAAATGATCTTCCACTGACGTCAATTCATTTTACGCATCGCCGTAATTTACAGCTTTCCACCTGATATAAATAATTAATATAATTATGGATTTATCTCGCTAATTTTCTATTTAATTAAATCTTAATGACATGCCAGTGAAAGTCTTGATTTTTATTAGCACTCGATTTATCTCGGAAAATGTTGGATGATTTTTTATTTGTTGGTTTAATTTATTGATTGGTCGATGCTGTTTTTATTTAACTTCACCCTGAAATTGTTATGAAAGAAATAAAGTAAAAGTTGCGACATTTCATTTTCGCAATAGTTTATTCTCGTCACCGATGATTCAATATAGATCATCACGCGAGATCATTAGCTGCATCACATTCTGTAATTTTCATTCTATCAAGCGATGACTCAACTCTCAGGAATTGGAGTGTCAGTGACGTTTCAAATATTCCGCGAATCAATGTTACAGTGAAGCGAGACGAGCTAGCTCTCACAACTACCTAAATAGCGATTTATCTTAAAACCTATGGATTTCAGGTGAAAACGTGAGAGGACTTTTTAGTGGCTTCCTAAATTTCTGACAGAAAAGGTCTTATGATATTTCCTTTTAAAATCCATGCCTTTCGAGATATGCCCGTAATTCTGAAACATGTATTTCAACTTGTCGCTTCACCACTGCGCAACTACATGGAAATTGTCCTAATTTTTTTCTCCCAACATTTACTTCCGTTTTGTACTTGAGGACGAATTGCGGTCAATTCACTAGGACAAAGGGAGTGGGAGTTGAAATTACAATCATGTGACGAACGCGGAAAAAAAAATCTTAGCGTCATTCCGTCATTATGTCATTGCGGATGACGGAATGGAGAAAAATACTTGGAAAGGATCAGATGTTTCCTTCAATATCTTCTCATTAAATTCCAGTCCATTTCTAATCAGCGAATAGAATATATAGTAATTTGCAAATTTCTCCTGCGTCTTCCCCAGGAATTTATGACGAAGATAATAAATTTAGCCATGACTCAGTTTGAAATATTAATTGCACTATGAGGCCGGCAAATTTCCATCGATCTCACGTGCAAATCGATAAACCGCATGCCCTTGATGCCGTAAAAAGGTATGACGCGTTGCCCTGAGGCCGCAGAGTGAGAAAACATTAAAATAATATCCTGAAAATTTATAAACAATTGTAATAGACAGTCGATCGATGTCTTGGCGTACGTATGCAGACGTTCGTTATTGAATGAGAATGGGGAGTGGAGAACCCTTAGGCGCAGGCCCGGGGTATGTTTTCCAGTGGAAATCACCGAGGCCTTCGGAGTGGATGCGCCTGGAGCTGGAGGAAATCTGGGAAATTCACAGCACAAGGCTGGAGTCGATCTGTCAGGGCTGGAGGAGTTGAATTGTCCCCTGACACCTGGCACAATGGCGGACAAAATCGACCTGGACCTTCACCTCATGTTTCCAAGCATGCCACCCGTATCTGATCAGCAGAGGGATGAATTTGTCTTCGTTTATGAAGACGACAAACGACCTGTCGTCATTCTTCTAGGATGGGCAGGCTGTCAGGACAAATATCTCGCCAAGTACAGCGCCATTTACGAAGAGAGAAGGTAATATTTCCTGGATCAACAGATTTATTCCCACTTTTTTAACAATTTGTCAATTAAAATATCAACATCTTTAAAAAATTCATGGATATTCTGCACTTTCTTATTTGCAATTTCTGAGAGTTGACTTTCATAAGTAAATAATCGAAGTTGATTAAACTTACTGGTGGGTTGATTACTGTTGTGAGATGCGGGAAGTAATTATTGATGCATTGACGGAGTTAATTGTTTTCAGCTGCATCACATTGAGATGTATAGCCCCAGTGGAGTGGCTTCTCTGGCGACGAGATAAAATATTGATCATTGGTAGACAATTGCTCCAGGTGATCTTGGACCGAAGCCTCGATCAGCACCCCATATTCTTTCACATATTCAGCAATGGTGGGGCCATTCTCTATCAGCAGATCAGTGTTGCTATGCAAGGAATGGGAAACCCAATCAATGTAATTAGTACAGCACCTGTTTGGTTGATTCACGAGTTGATGAATTTTTTATTCTTTTTGACAGGTGAAGGGTGTGATTTTTGATAGTTCACCTGGGGAGAGAAGAGTCTCTTCATTATTCAGGGCTGTCAGTGCTATCGTAGGGGGTCATCCTGTCACCAATCTCCCGATGTCTCTTTTTATCACCATCTTCTTATCAGTTTTCTGGTTGTACGAGGTATGGAAAAATTCAATAGAAGAATTTACTGGAACTTCTACAGGAATTCGATTGTATATTAAATTTCGGGAGTGTGCGATTCTGAAGAAATGAAGGGAAGCGAAGAAATAGAGAAAAGGGTTTTACTGTGGATTAATGATTTTTCATTTGCACTTTGCAGATTATAACTCGAGCTTGGGGTCGAGGACACACGATTCCAACAAGTCCATTCGAACTTACTGAAGAACCACACTCATGGCCACAACTCTTTCTTTACTCTAATGCTGATACGTTAATACCCGCGATAGTAAGTCGAGTGAATTTCTACAACTCAATTTTTTCCCAAATTCCGAATTATCTCGACACCGATGGGTCCCCTGGAAAAATGTCAAAAGGCTTTTTTCTGGGAAACTCAATTCTCTACAAAAAGTTTCCTTTTCATCTTTCCCCTAGGATCAACCGTTGTCGAGATAATTCACAATTTATGATCGCATTTGACTCATGAATTTTATGGAATAAATTCCTCTCGATTTATTCTCAGGACGTTGAAAAATTTGGGAGTCGTCGAGCTGAACGTGGAGTACGTGTACAGCTGGTACTGTTTACGGATGCACCTCATGTCAAACTTTACGCTGTTTATCCAGATGTTTATGTGAATACTGTGTGCACATTTATTCACGAGTGCATCATGAACAAAGAAAATCAGTTGAATTCCCAGGATTCGATGGAGGACGAGGAAGGAATTCAGTTGAAATTCCAGGATACAATCTCAGGGCTGACGAAGAGGATCGTTATGCCCCAGGAAACCACACAGTCCCCGTTAGATAAGTAATGAGGAAAAAATTCATAAACTAAAGGTTGAAATTTACACAGCAGGTGTCTCGATTTATCGTACTTTTCCTCTTTTGTTGGCGTTAACGTTCTTTTTTTAGTCTTGGGGAGATAATTTAATATTTATGAGGATTTCTGCAAGCTGGTCTTGACGAAGAACCTCGAGTAGAACACAATCATGATAATAATTGAGGATTTATTTGGTAATTACGTGAATTGCATCGGATTTTGATTAATTTAATTGAATAAAGACTGACTATTACGCTTGAAAAATTACTCACAACGCACTTTCTTTATTCCTAAAAATATCTCTGTCGTATTTACACAATTGCAGGTTTATACATCATTTACAAGTTGTTGTTGAGATTGAATAATTGGAAAAATCTAATCAGTCGATCCTCTAATGAATGAAGTGATCGATGGTATTGAAGAATTTATATTTGCTACACAGCTGAAATTTGGTATATAAAAATATATTCGATTGAAAAATAGGAAAATAATTTTTCGTTGTAATGCGATATGTCAGATGTCGGGGCTGGCCGTTGAAAAATTGAAATAACAACTCAATCAATTGGAAAAAATTCAAATTCAATTGGAAGATAAATTTTCTTTTACACTCACACAACCGGAAGGGCTGCACTGTGGCCCTGATAAATAATAGCACCCGTGAAATTAATAGCAGCAGCCAAGACGAATACTGGCATCCATCGTCCACTCGAGGCTGTAACTAACTCAGCAGTGAGTGGTCCACACAATATTCCAGGTATTGTTGCTATTGTATTGGATATTGCGAATGTTATGCCAGCATGATTTGGGGCTACATCGGCATGATTACTCAGATGTCCAGCTGAGTTGCACGCACAGAGTCCCATGGATATGGATACAAAACTGCAATTGAAGAATTGATTGAGAATTTTCAATGGAAGATTAATTCAAAAATCGACAAAGAATCGTTTCCATCGTACAATCGATTCTCGAATAATTGAAGATGGAATTTAAAATTATCAGAGGATTACTTACATAACGGCTAGTAATAGATTATTAACAGCGCAAAATGCTAGGAGGAAAGCTCCAGGCCCAATTAAGCCGATGTTGGTCATTAATCTACGAACAGAGAGGATCGGCCATCTCTTCTGGATTAAGTTATCAGCACTGTGGCCAGCAACTGCAGCAGAGTAATAATAAATGGTAATTTATGGGATTTTTGGGGGAAATTGGAGATGGTTTGGGACTTACCTATGCCCACCAGGGAATTAACGACGTATGGAAGAGCTGTCAGACTGATGCTCTCTGTGTTGGCTGAGAGATTTCTCGATAAATACGTGGGCAACCACTGCATGATTATGTAGTTGCTCCAGTTCATGGCGAAATGGGCTATGTAGAGGGACCAGAGAGGCCAATGGGCAATCAATTCCGTCCATCTGACCACTCTATTCTGTGTTACCTAAAATAGATGAAATTTTGATAATCAGTTGTCATTTTCGAGGGATATCGTTGAATATAGATAGAATTTTTTTGTTTTGATTTGATTACTGGATTCTCGTTACCTTTGGTACAAAGAGAGGTATTTCTTCTTGTGTTTTAGATTCTTGGTACAGAATCATCCATAATAATGTCCAAAATATTCCAATAGTGCCGAATAAGTAGAAACCAGTCTGCCAGTGCACTCTGGGGCACAACTGCAAGAGGATAATCATTTAGTGATGAATTTTATGGGGTTTATTGAATTTTAGGGGACGTACTATGGAGGCTACGACTTGTCCAACAGATCCAGCTGCTACGAGGTAGCCAAATGCCCTCGATCGCTCCTCAGCAGGCACACTGTGCGCAAACAAGTGAAATATAACTGGTAATCCTGAAAAAATTGGGGGAAATTATTGACATCAGCATTTTGACGTTTCAGAAGGATATGGATAAAGAATTCAATTACCTATTCCTTCTCCAAGACCCAGGATTACTCTACATGTCACCAGGAGAGGTACAGAGTGGACTAGCAGTGGAGTTATTACTGTACTCACTGACCAGAGTAGCACAGCTGACATCAACACTGTTTTACAACCAAATCGGTTCACCGTGCACGCTCCAACGATCTAAAATAATTCAAATAATTGAAATTAAAAAATTCATTCGCGTTAGAACGTTATTGAACATTTTAGAACCCTTCAAACTCTTCCTATAAATCTATTCATTGAAACAAAAATTAATATATTGTAAATATAGACAGGAAAATGAAATAAAGGGAAAATATTTTTTCTTCTATTTCAGCTGAATAAAATGAATGAAAATCTCATAATCACGAGGAATTAACCCAACATATGGTGCCTGCCACCTCTTCATAATTTATGATCTACAGTTTTTTTTAATGCCCGCAAAAAATCAGAAGCTATGAGAATGAATTTACAAAGTCGTTGGGAAGTCGAAGCGTTCAGGAGTTGTTTGGTGACTGAAGGTTGGGAATTTTCGTATTGTAGATTAGTAATTATCATTACCTGACTGGCAAAGTATCCGAAGGCAAAAGCAGAAAGTATCCATCCCTGCGTGGGTAAATTCCATTTGTATTCATCAGTCATAGGAACAATGGCAATAGGCATGATGACTCTGTCAGCTGCATTTATAAAATTGGCAGCTGAACACAGGGCCACGATTCTGGATGTACGTGGAAGCATCGACAGTCTTGGCATTGTTGATGACTCTGAAGATTTATCTCAATCAAGATCACTTCAATTGGTTTTTAGGGGACACATCGTGGGGTACTCGACAACTGGAAGAACTTTCACGTTCTAACCTCTTGGGTGAGGCCAGAGGGTTATCGTTGGAGTAAAAATCCAGAGGTCAACACTCCCGGGGAGGACCACATCGTCGACTGGGATTGTCTACTGGGCTGTTGCTCGGATTTTCTAGGCCAGCAATTGGGAATTTGTGTTTAGGATTTTCGGAGTACTTGCCGCAATTTTGACGTGTCAAATAAGTGCAGTTTCGAAGGCAGTCGATTACCGAAATTTCCGACTTATTAACTGGAACTGGGGGCCGATAATGTAGAGACTATTCCCTAAATCGGAATTTTCCATCCCCCGATTTCTGAATATGGCATATATTTGCATTGGAGATGATCATAAAATCCCAAAAACCCGAGGAAAATACGAAAATACGGCCTTTTCCTTTCACCCCATCCTCCGGGATTGATCTAGGACCTTTCGGGGAAGGAAATTACATTTTGATAAAATCGAATTTCCCATAAAACTACAATTATCTTTGAATTTCATAAGTATGTTTAGAATTAGCCGCGCTGCATCAGAGTTGCGCGGTAGTGGCAATGCTCCTGCCGCGCACCGCTGCGGCGCACCCCCCACCGCTGCGGCGCACCCCCCACCGCGCTATGCCGTGGCGCAGCGCGTCCGACGCCATGTTGATTCCCCCATAATACGCTGGGCGTCTAGCTGTGTAGACGCGTCTCGCCGTTCTCCTCATGAATTTCCCGAAAACGACCGAAAATCCTCAACCTGGCGTGCAGAAGGTGATCCCTAATCCTCATTACACATTTGTTTCTCATTTTTTATTAGTTATCAATGCAATTATTCGATTTATGACGATGAAAAGGCTTCCCAGCATTTTCCTTTGTTCGGCGGTACGCCACGGCTACCGACGCCATGTTGATTCCTTTGTTTGTCGGCTGATATATTGACTAGAGACTTTTGTCGAGACCTGGTGAAGTTTCACCTGAGGTATCACCTCCTGTACCGACGGTGTAGCCTACCACAGGTCACCTGGGGGGTGGGAAATATATTTTTTCCATAATTTGTCGAGTGCTGATCAATTTATCAGCGTTTTCAATGGGTCTCTTTGTTCGTTGGGCTCAAGGATAGGGGCATACTTTGATTTTTGTTGTCGAGTCAGTGATCGGACAGTAACCATCGACGATGGTCAAGTGCGGTTTTTAATCGGGGTTTCCTATTTTACCGACAATCCGATGTCCAGGAAGTGACTTGAACGGTTTCTGGAGGGAACGTTACTACCGCGAGTTGTTTTTTAACGAGTATCGAGTGTTGTGTTTTTTTTTTAAGTGATTAGTTTTTTTTTATTTGATTATTTTTTGTGTACATTGTGCCTGTGGAGGATCCCCAGGTAACGACACCACATCATCTATTGGTGAGTGATTTTTGTTGATTATAATAACCAAGAGTTAATTATTTTTTTTATTGGAATTCAATATTTGGAGGAGAATTCTGAGATTTTTATGGAGAAAATATCGAATCGGGTTTGTTCAGCGGTTTTTATTCAATTTGAATTAATTGACAATTATTGGAGCCGGGTGGAAGAATAATCAACAGTTTTATTTCCAAAATACGATTTATTCATTTTCCCAGCTAAACCACAGCGCTTACACATACGCGCACACACACACACTCTATGAATTTTCCTCCTCTCACTCCTCACCTCGTTTTATATTCTTAAACATCACGCGCCTACAATTTCACACGGTGATATAAAAAATCTAATTAATCACTATTTAGTTGTTTTTTTTTTTAGACACCGTAATTATAATCGTGGATAAACATATGCCTAGGCTATGATCGTTTTTCGTTTTTCCAGTTTACGTTATGTCGAAAATGTGAATTATCTCGATAGTGTGCGAAATAATGAAAAAATTCGGGGTAACATTTATCGTAGGGTGACAACGCACACATTTTTTTTTTTTACACTCTCCACCGAATTATGGGGAAGGTAATTTCAACGAATATCATCCACTCAAATCATTACATGATAAACAAATACATAGTCATTTAATATATTGTCCTCACACTACGATCAAACGTCCGAATTCACATTTTTCAATGACAAAATAGCAATTTTTTTATCTTCAATTACAAAAAAATGCCATGTGGGTGCATGCCGTTTAACCCCCGACTGGACGCACAATCAAACTCGATTTGTTTTTACAATGGAACTATCTAGAAATTGATAACGAAAGTGATAATTCGTTAATTAATCAACTAGCAACAATGATTTGAATCTGTGAAAGTAATTAACATAACGTGAATAGTACAGGGAAATATTGATTAAATCGACAAAATAAATTACATTCGGTACTCGAATTATGGATGTGATGGGGAGCGAGTGGTTGAGGTGACAATTTTTATCGATATTGAATTTCAATGGTACGAGTAATGCCTCTGTTAGGGGAAAAATTAAAATAGAAATATCTAGAAATATTCCAGTGTCGAGGAGGTGAAAATTAACAGGTTGATTCGCTCTCCAGCAGAAATTTCGCGGAATATCTCGAAATCTAAAAGAGATATCGAAATTGTTCTCGAGATATTTTTCGTAGAGTGAAATTAGGACTCCAAAAAAGATCTCCATTAATATTTCCCTATCTCTCTTAGATTCCGAATAATTGGCCTCGTTATGATTCACCTCTTCGTTACAGATTAATATTTATCATTGCACACCAGACAAACTCCCCCTCACGGTGGTAACAAATATTCATTTTGGTATAAACAAATGTGCAGTGCCCATCTTCATACTTTGGTTTAACACTCTAGGATGAAAATTAAATTCTACGACTGGCATTAAATACCCCTCTCGTCGATAAATGGCACATCTCTCGTATCAATTCAAAGAAAAAAAATAATAATAAACAAATAAATGAAAATAAACAATTGGTTTCGAGGAATAGTGAACAAAAGGAATGACGAGTAGTCGTCATGACTTACAAACTAAGACCGAAAACAATTATCGAATAACTATCCTCGTGATAACAATTCAATTAACAATTAATCAATAATTGCAGGGAAAATAATATGATTGATAATTTGTTTTTTTTTTTCAATGCTTGTGCGTGGTAGATGCTTGCTCGACCCTCGGCTTTGTGTTAGTCAGATTGGCCTCAACTCATTAATTTAATCTACTCGATCCAATCAGTTTTATCGATTGCTCATCGATCATTCCTCTCTCGTAGTATTAGTCATTCTTTAGCATTGCATTATGTTGTAAGTACAATAATCGGTTAATAATCTGAGACACGTCTTTGGTATCTTATCTCGGAGCCTCAGCATAACATATTTACCAAAAAAAAAAAATTATCTCAACATAAAGAAATATTTTAAACAGAAAAAAAAAATAGGGTGGAGCAACAAATCTACTTCATATTTTCCAGTAGAGCTGTTATTCAACCGCTTTTTAAACAAAAAAAAATTAACATACATCAACTGTACAGGAAAAATAAACAAAAATATTATCGTGAGCTAGTGTTTTTTCAATGGCGAAAGAAAAGAAAAAAAATATATATATTCAATGCATTAAACCCCGAGGACTTTTTTGCCACCCTCGTTACCTGTACTGGTACATTACAAATATATATGCATACACGTACATAGACGATAAAAACGTGTGACAAAAAAAGAATCGGTTGTTTTTTCCTCATCTGCTTTTTTAAAAAAATATACGTCAGCATTGGGGGCAGGGAGGGAAATGTTGCATTTCTTTTTCTTTTTACTCCCAATGAACTGGTAAAGAGGGAAAAATATAAAGCGAGGATCAGGTTGGCAATTTTTCTTTTCAGAGGGAAAAAAAAAATTGTTGCTGAGGTGGCAATTTGACATAATTGTTTTTTTTTTCCATTCTTTTCTGCACATGCGAGACAAAACGCGAGGCTCGAAAAACGCCCCACGTGCATCCCCTGAGCCATTTTTTTTTTAATTTCCAGGTGTGAAGACGGTGAACATCGACGTTGACAGCACTTTCCAACAATTTCTCGGCGATGATTCATCGTGTTCAGGGGGATTATCTCTAATGCGAGTGTGTGTGCGGTTTGGGGGTGATTTTTGGAGGATAGGAGGAGAGGATGTGAGCACCGAGGGAACGTACTGGTGAGTGAAAAAGATATATCTTAAACGAAAGTAAACGGTTGGCATTTGGCGGTAGTGACTATCGGCTCCTAGGGGTATATCTCGTCAACCAAGAGAGATACAGAAATTTTTCTCTCGAGATTTTTCGTAGGTCGCATTGTGCTCCGCAAAAATGGTTCTACAAATTTATCTCTGTCGCCCCTCAATCACGAGATACAACCCAAAAACTAAAATCAAATAAAATTACTCTTGTCACTACTCCACCAATTCCTCGGAAAAAAATAACTAAAAAAAATACTGTAGGACGAAAAAGAAAAATCAAACTCATGTTTGTGGCGCCTCTGAAACTCTAATGTCGATTGAAAAATTCTCGTACAAAATTGATTGTTTGAAAATTTTACGTTTCACGCGGAGAAAACGTAAATACGTATTATCTCATACCATTAACTAATTAATGATAATTCATCATAAAGTCTGATGTGACCGGTCGACTTGTTAGCGTTTTACCCCCCAATATGTACTAGAAATGTTTAGACACATTTAATACGCACGGGCACACATATAAATATATACACATAGATTAAAGTTCTTTTCCCATTATTTTTTCTCAACATTTTGGCGTCGATTTAATCAGCAAAATCCATTATAAAAACATTCTCTAACAAATCCTGTCGTTTTTTTTTAATCATATTCCAGTTAAAAACGGAGATAAATTTTCTTTTGTTAAAGTTTCCGACTTCAAAGCTCTCGTGAAAACGATAAAAAAAAAAGACTTTTGTTAGCTTCGATAAAAAAAAATAATTAAAAAAAAAAGATGTTTCCAATGGTTTTTTTGCGCTTCTTTTCACGAAAGTACGTGGAGGAAAAAAGTGGAACATAAAGGATTGTAAGAATTCTGTGTGGAATATTGGTGGAGGAGGGGATACGTTTATACTTTTTTTTTCGTTTTTCGTTTTTTTTTCTTTTTTTTTTGATGATGGTATAGTTGCAACAGGCACCGACAAAACACAGAGACTGATCGAGTCGTGACTGAACTGAGACAGACATGGCACGGGGGCGAGAACTCCAGTTGATAGTATAACAGTCACAACGTCACAGGCCACCTGCTGGCACACAAACAAACACACAGAACATGTTAGTCACCACCACACAGAATAAAACGAATAAGCTGGCCGGTTTTTTAAAAATTAACTGGTAGAGCGATTGATCTACCAGAGATAAGCCTGACATTGACGACTGTCGAATTGTAGAGAGAAACGAATACCCGACGTAAGAGTAGAAGAAACTCTGTCGAACTCTACCAGATCTCTACCGGAAATCTACCGGTAGAGATTGGTAGAGAATATGATTGAAAGTTGAATGGAGTGATTACTGATTCATTAAGTACTGGGAATGGTATTCAATAAGCAATGGGAAAATGAAAGTAATGTCTCCACCGGGCTCTACCAGATATCTACTGGAAATCTACCGGTAGAGTTCTAGTGGAGAAATGGCGGAAATAATGATGGAACTGAGAATTATCTGGTTCTGGCTCTGCTGGTAGAGCTGGAGCGAAGATAAATCTACCAATTATTTCTTTTTTATTTTACGTAGTTCATTCGTTTTTCGATACAATCAAACCTGAACAGCTGTAAAGTAGAAGCTTCTTCCTGGTAGATCTCTAGCTCTACCGAATCTCTTTTTTTTACTGACGAAATGCCGCTATCTGTGCCGAATAGTTGAGTAGATTTTCGATTGGGGACATTTCGCGACTGGTGGAGTGAATTTCCTTGATTCTTTTTTCATTTCGTTGGTTTTTGTAAGGAGTTTGATATGAGAGGAAGTTTTTTCGATTCGGATCGTAGTGAGGGGTGGTTTTTCATTGCTTTAGTTGGATAATTGGTTTCGGTTGAGGCTTATGTCTTGTTAAATTTTTCTGCAACTGAGGATGATTTTTCAAATGGAAATTTCTCTTTGAGACATGACGTATGTGGTTTTAATAGAGAAAATTCCACTGTTGAGATCCATAAGCAGTTGAATGAGGACTTGAAAACTGGGGAATTGGGAAAAATTGAAAATAATTGGATGTGAGATGAGGATAATTGGATGGGAGGTCTTAGAGGGGATGGAAGTTGAGTTTGAAGATGTAGGTTTGATCTTTGTGTTCGTTAAAGTGAATTGGTATCGACTTTTTTATTCTTCGGTAACTTGAGCAGTAGAAATTACCCATTTTGAATAAAAAAAAATTCGCGAATTATTGGCCCACGAGTAATACAAATTCATTGTCGGGGGGGTGACTTAACATTTGCTGAAAACCACACAATAATATTTCAAGCACGAGAATTTCACTTGAACGAATAAAAAAAAAGAAACCTCAATTAATCAACACTCGGCACTGGATAGCATCAGTCAATTTAAAAAGATCACTTTCGAAATTTCCTTGACTTGAGTTTTAGATCAAGGAAAATCGAAATAAACTCAGATAATACGTTTGCAATACTAGACTCATGGTGAATTCTGGTTTGACATTGAAATCACCAATTAAACACATTGTTCGTATGGGTTAGTAAATACCTTAAAATACTGATAAAAGCGTTTTCTAGCATTAAATTATGAATTAGATAGTAAATATAATCAAGTAACGGTATATGCTCGCGTTACCTGTGATGCACAAGCAATTAATTCACCCATTCCTCCCACATTATTCATCAATATCGAGTTAATAAATATTTATTGGACGGATCTAGTATAGTACTTCAGCTATCACAGACTCTCGATACTCGATTAATTAAAATAAACTGTTGAGTAAAAAAATATATAAATATATTTGAGTGACTAGTTGAATTGACTTCAAACGCGTATGTTTTTTTTTTCGGTTGTAAATACCCTTTGTTTAAATAATCAACGGCAGCCCTTTTAATACTTGGAATTAATTCATCTACCTATTAATAATGAAGCCCGTTGGGGGGGAACTAATAGGGCTTGGCAGCCTCTTTGGCTCTTTTGTGTTCCACCTTCAGTCGTTTAGTGCCTATGTGAAATCCATTCATCGTTTGTATTGCAGCTGCAGCACTTGTTGGGTTGTCGTATGATACAAAACCTAGAGAAATTGAGTACACGAGTTCATTAGAATTTATGTTTGTTATTTTCCGCTCACTACTGGTGAAACAAGACGACTCGGAAATATTATTTTCACTAATGATTTGCACTGAGGAAAAAAGATCTTATGCCAAATAAATGGTATTGCTTGAATATAATAAGATTGTAGGAAGCCAGTCTCTTGTCTCATTCCTGGGTCGGTTCTAAATTCACAAGTTCAAGCAATTCTAACTTATTTCAAATATGGGCATTTTATTTCGTAATCTCATTTATTTGGCAAAAGCTAGAAATTTACTGAGTCTCACTAAATGTTCTTTGCGGGGGAAAATGTTTTTCTCAGTGAACTCTTAACTCTTGTCAATATAAATCTAAATAATTATTTATTAGAACATCGTCATTATCATCTCTAACGCAATTGAGTTCAAATTCCGTCGAGAAAAAGTCGTGTGACTCTCATTTGGATAGAATTGCTGCACTAATTCTGCATTCGACATGGACAGACGAGCGGAGGTAATTTACCTCAATTCAAATGAATTTTTTCTTCTGGTTCAAGTAGTTTTTTTTTTTCATTCTCAGTATATCAGTGTTCGCACTTACCGAAGCACCTGCTCATGTTGGTTTTGAGATCGACGACGACTTTGGCTGACAGCATATTGCCAAATTGTACAAATGTCGATGCTAGATCCATATCAGTAAATTCTTGGGGTAGATGATAGATGAATAGGTTGCATCCCTCTGGGCCCTCAATTTGCTTGCCAGCGGCATTGGATATCATTGCCTGCTGCTGTGCAGCCAGTGCAGCAGCAGCTATTGCTGTTGTGCTACCAGTTGTCGTTAGAGTTGGAAATCCTTTCGGAATAATTGAATGATGAGTCTTCTAAGGTTTTCACGGTATCATTTGACAGATCATGCTCTTAGATAATTGAAAATAAAGTACAATCTACTACTGCTCGTCATTTTTATCCATTATAAATAAGTCCAACTATGGGAAGAGGAGTGGAGGGCAATGAGTGCATAGTGGCAAACATCCAGAGTGCTTCACCTGTTGTTTTTTCTTTTGGTGTATCATTTAGACTCTACAGTTGGTAGGTTACAATTTGGATGTGCGCCAGGTACTATGCATCGTGGAAATTTAATTGCTGAGGATAGCATTGGACGTCAACGGAATACTCTTCTATCAACATTCTGATGATGTTTTCAGGGATTTCTTCAGTCATTACTCATGGCTAGGGGAGTAGATAAGCTTTTTCTCTTAGCTTCGTTCATAATTCATTTGGCTCGCAAAATAATTAACTACTCAAGCAATTTTTTTCGTGTAAATACTCGCGATTTTACTCACTATGCAGCTCTTTCTTTTCCACCGTCACTGTTGTTTTTCCAATGAGAGCTTCAATAGGGATTTTTCATTTTATTCTTCATGAATTGGTAGAATGAGATGTTGGGTGAGGATATCCAAGTTGATTGAATGGTTTGGAATTTGTTATTTTTCAAAGGTTTTGGTGTTTTGACATGTATTTCTTGGATATCCTGGTGTTGAATAAGGTTCAATGGTGGATGATGATGCAGAGCATTTTTTGAAGTATGCATCTCTTATTCAACTTGATGATTGGGTTTTTGGGGTAGAATGACGGTTGTATACCTGCGTATTGCTGTAGACTCGAATAAGCACTTGTCAATGAGTCCTGAATGCCACTCAGTGGTGAAGCAGTCAGTGAATTGAGCGTGAGAGACGTCACTGGATTGAAACTGTTGCCAGTGGACCCTGAAATATCAATTAATATTGAGTATTGAAAGTGTTGGGGGTAGGGATTAGAATGAAATAGGGATGGAATATTCAACGTGTGCGGTATCATGCTTTTGGATTGAAAGCTCAAGCATTATTCAGTGATGAAGGGGTAACACTGGTCAAGTCAATTTTAGTCAGGAGAGAAATATTCAGTGAAATTTGCAGTAAAATTTACATTATCCGAAATGAGTAATTGTTTTACGATGAGTTTGTACGGATCGAAGAAAATAAATCTGAGATATTCCGTAATTAGTCAAGTGGATGAAGAAAATACGAAATTTTTATTCAAATTTGGTGATTACGTGTCAATTAACAGGGTACCTCTTCGATACTGAATTCAGTGAATTACATTCGTTAAATTGATCAGTATTTCGATTTATGTAGGCGTCTCACCTGTGCCTCCCGTTTTTCCTAGTAGAGCAGCTTGACATAAAAGCAATATACAAGTTCTTACAACGATTTTACCAGTTCGACATGGATTAAACAATTTTCTATAATTTTTAACTCGAAGCAATGGAATCACACGATAAATTTCACTCATTACTGAGGTACAAATTACAATAATTGATTAATTTAAATTCAAATTGTTGGGTTTAATTTCTCAATTCTATCATTGTTAAATTGTTTTTAGTATTTGTTAATACTGTACCAGGCAATACGACACGTACATAGTGACATACCTGCCGTTGAATTTCCCAATCCGCTGAGCGCTATAAAAAGTCAGTCGTCTCATTAATAAAATAAATAAATAATGCATTGCGATATTCATCAAATTGTTAATGGAATACTGGGGACTTACAGCTCGGCTGCACTTGCAGATTACTGCTGCCACCAGTCATTGCCGCCAGTGTTACTAAATCTTGCATACTCATTGGTGATACAGCAGCATTTGCTGAAATATTATGTAATTTCAAGTGTTGAATTATTCATCTTGGGGAGTGTTTTTTGTTTCGACGGCGCGAAGAGTTGCGAAAATAATTGAATTTGTTTTGCCATTCGATAATGGATCACTGAGGGCTAATTATTTTCATTGATTCCGAATTAGGGCTTTGTAATCGTTGCAATTACCGCCATTTATCTGTGGTGGGGTGGACAAATCCGGTGTTGGAAAATTGTATTTGAAATTTTATGGGAAAAACTGGAAATTTTTGATAATTCTTCATTGACGAATCATTTGATTTTTTCATTAAAAAATTCGAACGTTCATTGATAAATCAATTATTGAATAGAATGAAAAATTCAATTTTCTGGAATTTCCGAGAATAAATTCGACTCTTCAGGGTCCGACCATGAACGTAGAAGCACTTGGAAGAGAATTTTTAATTTATCAGGACCAATAATAAAACTCATGGATTAATCAACAAAAGAATAATCCACTTGGTAATGGGTTGGCCTCGTTGAATGTGGGGATTTATTGAATGTTTTAAGTGATTTGGGAATAAAGGAGAAGTACAAAGGGTGAGGCAATGGCATGACTGGTTTAACTCGTGTTGAAGGGATCAGGACAAATCCCCAGTGAAAATGTTGAAAATTCGGAAAAACACTAACCGTACTCACCGGTGGAATTACCGAGGGAGGCCAGGGTTGCTAGACTCTGAAGATTAGCTTGACTGATCTCGGGAGAGCTTGGTACTGCTGGGGCTGCCGCAGCTTGTGATGCGGTTGCAGCACTCAGTCCTAGGTGTTGCTGAAGCAGCAATTGATGTTGCACACTTGATAATGCACTGGCAGCTCCGGTATTACTAGCAACTGGCGTTGCAGCACTTGAACTCGCTTGCAACTGCTGGAGTAACTGGAGTGATGTTGGGGCTAGTGTAGGTGTATCGTTCTGGCGATTAGGAAAGAAAAAGGCATGGCTATGTTGTCCTCGATCTTTACATCTTTACCGATGAATTTTTGGAAAGTGAAATTTCACGGAAAAATCTTTCTCACTTTTCACCAGCTAATGCATCGAAGGTCTTCTCGTGTCAAACGGAATAGCAAATTCCCCTGGCAACTTCTCCAATTTTGTTTACTCGGGCATTCGCTTTATCTGATTTTATCTCGGAGCTAAATTCATTTGAGGGATTTCTTTGGAGCGAGCTTTTGGAATTGAAAGTTCATTTCTCTCTCATTTTTGGGGGAAAATCGCGGAATTGGCTGGAAGTGGAAAATTTTTTGACTTTGGTTTTCTGAGAATATCTCGGAAGTGGAGGGAGATAGCTAGAATGTCATCAGAGTATTTTTTGTGGGGAATAGTGAGTGCTACAAAAACGTTCCGATAAAGTTTTTGCTACGGTCGGTAGTTTTCGAGATATTCCGTCGTAACTTTGGTAACTCACGTTGGTTAGATAAGGCGGTGATGTCATATTGACAGCAGCAATGTTCCACAAATTGGCCTGCAACTGTTGCATCCTCTTCTGGTCCTTCTCCTTCTGTGTATCCGCAAATTTGACCACCAGTGGTGACGAACATCCCTGAAACATAAATAATTGATAAATCGGTACAGAAAAATTGTATGAGAGTCGATTCATTTTTCAATCGGTATAAATTCTATTGGATCGTTGGGTTGAATGTGAAAGCGTGGAGGTGGGATTTTATGATTTTCATTCAGTCCAAGAATGTGCATATCGAGAAATGGAATGGGGTAATCGTCTACCTAGAGACGTACAGAGTTTTGTACATTGGTGGAGTCGAACTTACCGCCGGAAATATTCATGATATTAAAATGAAATTGCCAAGAGTCTCGCGTGCCTTGGCACAGTACGAGCAGTCTAGGAACTATCGATAACTACTCCCCATGCACTCAGTAAAAACGTCTCATACAGACTAAAAACCAATTAGGCAAATTCTCAACCGTTTTGGAATAAATTTCACCAAAATTGATGGGCTTCGTCTCTATTGAGTCATCAGTAACTGATATTTCAATCAATTGTTTATTCATGAGGGAATTTAATCCATGCTCTTGATTTTTTCATAAACTCCTGTAAAATTGGTATATCTGACAAATCCGAAAAAATCCGGTAAATTCAAGTAAATAATTGATAAAAATAGTGAATTTTACTTGTTTCACTGGATTTGACGATAAATTTTGAACATAAGTGAGAAGTTTCATCAACACAGATGGAAAAGTTTCTTGAAGATTCTCTGGATTGAAGAAAACTTTTTCTCCACTCACGTCTCATCTCAAATTGAATAAAAATTCATAAAATTGCGAATTCATATGCAACTGTTGGGTAAAATGAGAGAATCAAAAAAATGTCCAACGTTGTGGGAAAAGATTAGAATGGGAGAGAGTGGTGAATGAGAAAGTGATGAAGTTGAAGAGGTGGAAAAAGCCGAATGGAGATAGAAGAACAGACACAGGAGATACTATCCTATTCCATTTCTTGGCTTGCAATAGTGATGATTCAGTCGTTGGAGGGTACTTTGCACTTTGAGCTCCTTTCACGGTCTGAGCAAGTAGTTTTCCCTTAGTCGAGTGCATTTTCACCCTACGAATGGATACATTATACCACAAGGAGAGTTTTCCGTGCTAACGGATATAGGGGAATGTCTTTCATACATGTGTGCATTGGAATTTGTTTTTGTTTTCTGTCTTCTGCATTTTTATACCGCTTTTCTTTTTCACCCCCCACTTTTCCGATGGTAAAATTTGTTCACAGACGATGCCTAGGCTATTCTCTGTACATTTTTCAATGCATAAATCGTGAGTTATTTCCGGAACAGATATTTTACTCACTTGCTCTGGAATTATTCACGTTTTTATCGAACAAATTGGCGGAATGGGGGAATTTGATGGGGAACTTAATTTAGAGTTATTGGTTATTCTAATATTGCCTCTGTCTTCTCGTTTTATGTTGTGCTAACTCGAGAGGCTGGTGGAATATCTAAACCGTGGACTGATCTAAATAAATTTATATTCGACACGTTCTCAAACATCATAGGGTACGAGGTGGTTAAATCAGTCGCGCAAAACCGAATGAGATAACCCATTCGTTTTGATGTGACTTCGGGTAACAGGCGTTCTGCCAAAATACGTTTGACATTCGTTTTGATGACCGTGTCAATCAATTGTGGGCATTACGGGCTATGAACACGAAGCAAGTGCTTCTAAATCATAAACCAACCGCACAAAGAGCAAATAAAACAGTTTAATTTTCAGAGAATTGTTTTAATTTTAATTCGGGAATCAATCTTTCATTAACAGAAAATTAAGGAGAAATCGGGGAATATGAAAATATATTTTTCATTACGATGTGCGGAAAAGTAACTTTTCAGAAAAGCTGAGCCACTCTCGCCTTCGGCTCGTGTTATAAACCTTCCACACGCCAAAAGTTACTTTTCTGCACTTGTTACGGAATGTACTATTTTCTCGTCAGTTTATTGCTGATTAATTGTACGTTGATGTCAATCAATGAGACCGAATTTAATGGAACTTACCTCCATTGTACGTGAGTGGTGCAGGGCTTTGATGGCATTTATGGCGTATTGTTTACTGGCAAATGTAACAAATGCACAGCCTCTACTTTGGCCAGTACTATTATCACGGAGTACTGAGCACTCTTCGATTGCACCGTAAACGTCGAACATATTTCTCACATCATTCTCCGTGTACTTTTTCGATAGCATACCCACGAACAGTTTTCGATCTGAAATGAGATTAAAATATTGACATTATAATAACAATGGCCATAATTCATCAATAAAAAAAATTGAACAGCTGTCCGAAAGAAGTTGTCTTTTCACTCCTGCAACTTTTTCAGAAATATCTCTGAAACGAAGGGAGATAGCGAAATTTTTGTAATAAACTTTTTTACAGCTTTCAATTAATCGGTGAAAAAAGGAAGTTATAAAAATTTCATTATCTCCGTTAGTTTCCGAGATATTGATGGAAAACTCAATGAAGTGCAAAGTCAACTTTATCACTTCGTAACAGAAAGAATTTCGATTATTTGTCCAACGGATACAGCGACTTGGACGGATTAGGGGCGAATTTGAAGGTACAAAAATACCTCAAGAGTGAGAAAAAAAAAATCGGTAAAATTGACTCTGCGGTTGTCGAGTTATTCGTGCATCTAGCACTGCACTCACAATTAAATTCTTCTTCGATTAATGGCGCATGACACCTGACCCGAAAAGACCGTTTCCCTGTCTTCTCTTTTTTCCTTCCCATTCTGTCGGTATTCCATTAGTCATTTGACTCATTAATATGGAGGCCTGGCCATCACACCGGAAGTGACGACAGAGTCACGAACTGTGATCCATCCGCAAACTGTCCAGAAATTTAAACCATTGTCTCTTGAATTTTTTTTTTCACACGAGATCTCTCAGCGTAAAAACATTCTCCCAAAATATTGATCAAACCATTAACACATACACTAGCCGGAAAATAATTAATCTCGTGAAATATGTATATTTCCGTCTCGTACCAGTTTCTCTCTAATTTCGAATGTTCATTAGTATGGGATGTTGCATCCTCGATAAATATTTCAATGACTTCCTTTCAATTCACCTCTCATTCCACTCTCATGAATCATCCGAATAAAATTACATATTCAATAAACAATTCCTACTAATGCATTCAAGGACATATTTTTCATTCTCTTCAGTCGTACGTCATGGGAGTTGATCGTCTTAACGTAGCGCCGGATTAGGGAGATCTTCTTACTTCTTTCGCTCAGGTGTCGTATCAAATTTTACTACCGATGGTGGAAGTCGATTGTCTTGGGTCAGCAAATGTCTTGGAATTTATTGGACATCAGGGAGAAGTGTTTAAGATTGAAAATTAGTTTGGATCGTATAGGGAAGTCAACTCCGTTCACATCGATTTTTTAACTTGATTCTAGCCGATTTTTCATTTTTATTCAAATCAATATTTATTCAAATCGTTTAATTTTGACATAAACTTTTGACTGATTCGGCATTTTTGCAAGTAATTCATTTTTTATTCATATTATTGGTAAAATACATTTGCATTTTTATTTTTAACAATTTTATTTAAAATCTTGAATCATGATTTTCAATTTTCCGGTCGACATGGCCGTGAAAAGCCGTGCAAATATTAAAAATTCAAGCCCCAATTCCTCTGAATTCTTCATCGGTTGAAAATTTATCGCGATTGGCGTTAAAAAATCAATAACCATTCCCCATGAAAATCCAAATTTTCTCAAATTTTCAATCCCAATAAAAAATTCGAATTCGAAATAATGAAGAATCGTTACCGAATAAGATGGATAAGTAAATTTTTAGCTGGTGTTTCGGTAAATTCTTTGACTTTGCGTGTGGAGTGAAAATATTAGCGTTAAGCCAAAAGGGTAGAGATAATGGCGGAGTGATTTAGACGTTTAACGGTGCAGTAGCACCAAAGTTGTACAGCTTTTCAACGATGGGCGAGACAATGAAGCGTTCCAATGTCTGAGTTTATGGGTAGGTGCAGTTTGGTCTCGGTACACTACACGTTAGATGTAAGAGTTGTTCGTAAGTAGGTTGGTAGCTGACGAGGGCACAGGTAGCTCTCCTTTTCTTCCCGTACCCTTGGAGAATGACTCTAGGTGGTTTTATATACGTATTACCAACATCTTTTACCTTCCCCTCCTTTTTTTAAACTTGGAGAGTGTGTAAGTGCAATAGTACCATCTATTGCACAAACTGTGTGGAGGCAACTGGCCTACGTTTCCTGTCGCAAACCGCTGGCTATGTCATACCTGTGATGAGGAGTTTGCTCTCGGGATATTACATTCACGGACTTTTTACTTTTATGTACCGTGCAAAATATTCAACTTTAAATTCAACCTGACGTTTAGGAATAGTCGGCACTCTAGGAATTTTTTAAATGAATTTCCTATTTGGAAATATCATTTGCGAGTTAATTCAGAGGGGAATATATATTTTATTCGAGCATTGGTTGGACTTGAAATGATAATAAAAAGATAATACATTTGATAAATGAAAGAAATAAGATTTCATGGGGTTGCAGGCACAAAGTTATTTTAATTTTTCATTCTATGAGTTGCAAATCAATTTAAATGAAAAATTTATCCTGAAAATGTGAGAGAATTGGGGCTTTTGTGGTAAATCGTGTCTGATTTTTTTATTGATCGCGAAATTTTTACGGTATGTCGGTGCAAAGTGAATTTCAAAATTGAAAATTATCAGAATATTCAAGGACTCCAATGATTCGTCGATGAAAAATTGGTGAAAATTTCAATTGCAATTTTCCGACAGTATATTTCATTTTCAATTCCATTTTTTACAAAAAAATACAGATGATTGAAAATAGAGTCTACTAGAATCAAGTATTTATTTTTTTTTTTCATGAATATTTTCTGGGTTTTTTGACAAAATCAATTTTACATTGACTATTCCCTGTTTTTGAATAAGAATTGCACGTAGAATATGCACTGTGCGATTCCAATGATTGCAACAGTTCAAAGGCAGGAGATTGAATCTCTAAAAAATTAATAACAATTTCCATCGCTCATAAATGGCCGGTGAAAACATGGAAAGCTCAAAAAATAGATAATTCCAACCAAATCGGCGAATTGACTACAGACCATGAAAAATTAAAGCAGTTTAATTCCTAAAGATTATTCAGTGAATGAATTTGCAAATTGAGGGTGATGGACAGTGCATATGCAACTGCAATTCTGCATACGGCATTTTCTTTTTTTTTAACGTTAAAACAACCGGACGTCATTGACCTCGGGATACAGCCGCTGCCTTATGCTCGGCCCCACCTTTGGATGGTTACTTTTTCGGGCAATGAATAAATTAGCAGAGTGGATAAAAAAGTGAATATGAGACAGAGGTAGAAAAAAATCTTATGCAGACATTCGAGACGGAAGCTAACGAGGCGCATCGAGTTCAACATTCGCCTCCTGGCATTTCGTTCCCGTTTGATGTCAGCGCTCCACTGACACACTGCCATTGCCACTATCATCTTCAAATTATCATTATCAATAAATACGCGAAAATGAAAATCGAGAATTGAAAAAAATGGTCATTACTCGGTTTCAGATAGAAACACATTCGCAAGATATTCGACAGTCTTAATTGTTCTCGCTTCAATTTAAATAACAACCTCTCCTAATTACTTTATTCACAATTTTGTAATTTACAATTAATATTAAATTCCTGGGAATCGTCTCTTGAAGTTGGGAATGCAATGAAATATTTTTACATTATGAAACAATTTTTAAAACACATTATCTCAGGTATAGAATCGTCTTCTCGTGCGTGAATGAAATTTTTCAATCTGTGTGTGTGTGTAGTGGTGGAAAAAAATGCTGGGTATGAAAATATGTACTGGATATCGCTTTACGCGGTGGATTATGACTCGCGATACGGCACGTATAGAGATATAGCGAATTTGCATTTTTAAGACGCGATTGAAATTCGAGAAAAGAAATAATTATTCGTTGTTTTCACGCTTTGGCGCGGATTTAATCGATCGTCGACGACAATTTTTTCGACTCATGATATTGTAGTTGGTAAAATGGATGGGGTTGGGAATGGGGGAAATGGATGGAAAAATAAGCAGATAATGACCATTGTAAAACATCCTTGATAATCCTAGTCTATGCACATGTCCATACTTCATCACGTAACAGATAAGTCGGGCTTACGTAAGCATTCGCTAGTGTGTCATGTCAACTTCTATCCTGCATGAAAAATTTAACGGCATACAACGAGGAAAAATGAGAAACATAAACTGTTGAATTCCACGGTGTTTGTCGGAGTATAACGCGAGGAATATTTAGGTAAACTATTCGGGAATACACCGTTAGAAAATTACTTTCAATGCTGTTTCACCGATAATAATTTCATATTTTTCTCCATTCTGACTGTTCTCGTTTCATTTGTTCAACTTATTCAAGAACTAAACTATTCACTTCGTTTATCTGTTGAAAATTCAATGAAATTCCATCTGCCATTTTTATAATTTAACGAATCGATAAAATTATCGATTTCAAGTGAAAGTGTCGAAGGATTTTATGAACAGTTTCGTTTTTAATCAATTGAGAACGAGTTGGAAATTAAATAATGAAGGAAACGTGAGGAGTAACAGGTCGGCTTATTCTCCGGTCTGGGTTTTCCAGGAATTCTTGGGAATCTAAGAAAGATAGGAAAATTTGTATGAGAAGCTTTGTTGCAGAGTGAAGCAAGAGCTGCGAAAAAGGTTTCTACAAAAATTTCCCTATCTTTCGTAAATTCTGAAGTATTCTACGAAAATAAATCTATTAACTCTATCTTGTTTTGGAATAATTCATACATTACATATTCTTTAGTGTAAGTTTTCTCTGAATTCCTCTGAATCTAAGAGAGATAGCGAAATTTTCCTAGAAATCTTTTTTGCAGAGTGAAGCACGAGCTGTAAAAAAGATTTTTACAAAAATTTCGCTATCTTTCGCAAATTCAGAGGCATTTCTCGAAAACCAATCTATTGACTCTAGCTTTTTGCAACGAAATTCCATCGCAGTTATTTCGGACTCTTCGATAGATTGTTCAATAAAAAACGGGAGAATTTATAAGGTTGGTGTTGTAAAATGGGAGAAAGCTGCAAATACTTTTGTTGCTACGTGCCGAGTGTGTATTGAGTATTTAGCGGTATGTCGACACATTTGAGAAGAGGCGTTAACTCGGCCGAATG